CCTGAGGGTCTTCAAGTACAGCCTCTTCTAAGTCACATAAATTATAAATCAGGACAGCAGAGTAGCTACTCTATCTACTGCTAACTGTCCTAGAAACTATAACACACTCGATAAAGGAGAGGCATCTCGAACGTACCTCCCTCCAAGCCTGCAGATCTATGGTTCTACCCCCCTGACACTCACTTCCTGTTGTGCAGTCAGTGACAGAGGAGTGTCCGCCGGGGGCGTACCCACCCCTGTGTCCCCCCAGAGCCCAGCACCAAACTCGGCCACTGGGACGTGCTCAACAAACATCTTAGCTTGGATAACTGGAGGTACCAGTCCCTACCCACCACTCTGCCTTTGCACATGGATGAGCTGTGTGTGTGTGTGTGTGTGTGTGTGTGTGTGTGTGTGTCTGTGTCTGTGTGCATTTCTTTGTGTCCACTCTGCCTTTGCACATGGATGAGCTGTGTGTGTGTGTGTGTGTCTGTGTGTGTGTGTGTGTGTCTGTGTGCATTTCTTTGTGGGTCAAGGTTCCATCTCTGCAGAAGTTTGTGTGCAAATAAGCAGATTTGCTCCCTCCTTGTGGCTCCCTTCTATCCACCCCAACTTTTCCCAGTCACTTGTCCCTGGAGTGCAGGGCCCCATGTAAGATTTCAGTTTAAGTCTGAAAGATCTAGCAATCCCACCCGCTCCACTATGGGCCACACCCCTGGATGCTCTCGGGTACCACGTCTTAGGGCACAGCAAACAGGCCCTTGGGCGCCCTCTGGTGTCCACTCTAAGAAAGCATCCCAGGGTGGCGTTCTCTGTCCATTAACAAGACCCTTGTCTTTGGCTGTGTACACAATTTCCTCCGGTTCTAAGCTCCAGCACCCAGGGCCTTCAGCCTACCTGAAAGTCGTCCTCTTTATACTCATCTCTCCACAAATCTTGGGAGCTGAGTTACTAGCCAAAGTCAACAACAAATACAAATAAATGGAAATGGCCCCCAGCATGTTTCCCTAAGGGCTTCCCTGGTTGCTCAGAGGGTGACTGAACTCTTTTCTGGTGGTGTCCAGTTGCTGGGATGTGGAGTGACCCAGCCCCATGGGCTCAGACAAGTCAGAAATCCCAAGACTTCAGTGGTCCCAAGACTTCACTTAGGGACTTAGACACCAAACCTCACTGAGCACAGCTCTCAGCTACAACCACATTGTACCAAAATCTCCCATGCCATAGTCACAGGATTCCAGTGTGATGTCCATTTTACTCTAGAACACTCCAGGGATGAGGCGCTCGCTCACTACCTTCCCAGAGGGTCCCAGATGGTCCATTTCAGCCACTCCATCCGGTGACCCACGTGGACAGGCAGTGGAATACATGAGAAGGAACACCTGACTTGGCTCTGGTTCTAGCACTGGCTTCTCCGATGGCTCAGATGATAAACAAACTGCCTGCTATGTGGGAGACCCAGGTTTGATCCCTGGGTCAGGAAGATCCCCTGAAGAAGGGAATGGCAATCCACTCCAGTATTCTTGCCTAGAGCATTCCATGGACAGAGGAGCCTGGTGGGCTACAGTCTGCGGGATCACAAAGAGTCAGACACGACTGAGCGACTAACACACAGGCTAGCACTGACTAGTTGTGTGACCCTGGCCATGACTTTATCTTCCCTTGGTGGAAAGCGTTGACGCAGAGCCTCTGGGGCCAGGCAGTTTGGAGCATCTAGGTCTCAGAGCCTGAGCGCTGGCTCTAAAGTCTCTGGTTCTAAAAGAATCGGGGCCCTGACACTGTGTGTGTGCAGTGGAAGCCCCCAAGGGTAGCGGGATCAGCTGGCTCCCAAGGTATGGGGAGCTGTCTGTGCTCCCGGGTCCAGGCCACTGCTGGAGTCCTAAGCTAGCCAGTCCTAAGCCTGCTTACCCTGCTCACTTGGTCCTTCCCTCGGGAACCACAAAGAAGGCTCTTGTTCACGTGTCCCCCTTTCTCCCTCTGCCTCCTGATTGACCGGAATGCTTCTCCACCTGGTCCTGCTCTCCTCCTCCTGGGAACTGCAACAAACTATGTTTTCAGTGGCAACTGTCTCCTGATCTGTTAGCCTCATCATCCCTGAATAATAATAAAAGCTACATTTTATTTTTTTTTTCATTTATTTTTTCTTTATTGTTCTTTCCATCACCAGTCACATCCACAGCTGAGCACTGTTTTCACTAAAGCTACATTTTAAAACATCCACCCAGTCCTGGGGCTTCAGGGAGGGCTCCTTGGAGGAAGTGACATTAAGGATGAGCCTGAAGGCGGGTAGGAATTAGCTGAGAGACACAATGATGAGGCAGGGGTGTCGCAGGTGGAGGGAACAGCACCTGCTGGGCTGGAGTGGAGGAGAATGTCCATGTCGTCTGACTGCAGGAAAGGGTGGGAACAGGGACTGGGACATCAGAAAGGGAGCAGGGTCCAGGTCTCCCAGGGCTTTGAGGGGCCGAGAATCTGGGTTTTGTCTAGTCCTACCACTTTTGATCTCCAGGTTGTTTTCCCCAGCTCCTAATAAACCCAAGGGCTTCCCAGAGGCTCAGTCATAAAGAATTCACCTGCAATGCAGGAGACGCGAGTTCAAATCCTGGGTGGGAAAGATCCCCTGGGGAAGGGGATGGCTACTCACTCCAGTATTCTTGCCTGGGAGATCCCATGGACAGAGAAGCCTGGTGAGCCAGTCTATGGGGTCACTAAAGATCGGATACGACGTAGGGACTAAACAAGAAACTGCCCAAAAGACTGACTTGTGAACTCTCCAGATTCTGCCGTTGCTGTTCCAGGAACCCAGAAGCCTGGTTGGGGGCCACCAGCCTGGGGAGGCGCCACGGGTCACCGACTGCAGAGGGAAACACACAAGAGGCAGAAGAGCAAAGCCACTCAGGTCAGCCCAACAGCGCGCACGGGGCAGCCCCGCTGCCTTCCCACCCGTTGAAATTCATCGTCTGTAAAAAAACAATAGTGGAGCCAGCCCAGACTCAAGGCAGAGCCACCAATCAGACGAATTAAAGAATGGACGTGAGGACCACGGTAAGCATCAGAGAGCATCGCCTATCCCCGCTTCTCTCCCCGCCACTCCCTGTCCTACCTCCCGGGAAGGACTCTGTTGCCCTGGGGAAAAGGAAAGGACTTTGCAGTCACCGAGGATCCAGAATTCAGCCTCCTGACTGAGTGACTGTCAAGTCCCTGGGGTTTTTAACCTCTCTGAGCCTCTGTTTCCTTCTTGTAAAATGGAAATAAAAATAGTTCTCACACACCAGAATATTTCGAGGGTGAAATGAGCTAGAGAATGCTTATTTCGAGGGTGCCCCCCTGCGTGCCTACGCGTCAACATCTTTCCACCTGCCCGGAGCCCTGCGCATGCGCACACCTCCACCCCGGCCGCGCAGGGACACCCGCCTTGTCCTGCTCAATGTTTCAAATGCAACGTCCTGGAAAGCAGAGGCTTTGCTGAGAAACCTCAGCATCCCACAAGGGCCAAGGAGTTCGTTAAAGGAGCTGGTCGGGCAGTCGGGCCGCCCTGTCTGGGTCAGTCACCTCCAATGCAGAGCAAAGTCCTGCTTCCCCGAGCCTTCCCCCAGATTCACCCGTTCCTATCTGTCGCTTCTTTCTTCCCCACTCAGAAGCCTGGAGTGGGAGGGGCGTCGGCAGGGGGGTGCTCCCTGGCATGGCCTCGGGCCCCTCAGATCTCACATCTAAGAGGCAAGTCCCGAGAAACATGCCCCCTCCATTGCCAGTGACCCCTCCCTCTTTTCTCTACACACCCCCCCCAATGCCCCATCCTCAGAAGGTAATTTTAGTATCTCCCTAAAGTCACTCATGAGAGCCCCAAAATGAGCTCTCAGAAAAGAAAAATGATGCGAGCTCAAGCTGTCAACTGACTTGGCAAATTAAAGTTATAAAAGATGCTGAGATCTCAAAGGTTGCGAAGCCAGGAGGTCAGGTGCCAGCTTCTCCTGTTCCTCCAGCAAAGCCAAGTAACTTAAATGGTCCTCAGTGGCCAGAACCTGGGTGAACATTTGCAAGCATAGGTGGCATTATATGAGGCTTTCCAGGTGGTGCTAATGGTAAAGAACCCGCCTGCCAATGCAAGAAATGCAGGTTCAATCCCTGGGTCGGAAAGATCCCCTGGAGGAGGGCACGGCAGCCCACTCCAGTATTCTTGCCTGAAGAATCCCATGGACACAGGAGCCTGGCAGGCCACAGTCCATAGGGTTGCAAACAGCTGGACATGACTAAAGCAACTTGGCACATGCATGTGGCATTATATACACTGAGTGTAGGAAAAAAGTGGCTGATCCCAACCCACAGGGGTCCCTGAGGCCAGGCACTGCCCACGGTGGCCCTGTGGGCAGGTATAGTGAGGTGGCTGAGCTCGAGGGTAGCCTTGGACTTCTGGCCTCCAGAACTGTGAGAGGATAAACTTCTGTTATTTAAGCTGTGAAGTGATTTGTGTTGGCCATCCTGGGAAACTGGGCACCTCCCCCAACCCTCTACTCCCCATATATACCAACCCTCCAAACTGGGGTCCCTGGGAAGGTCAGGAGAAATTAGAGAATCTAACTGCCAGTATCCCTCGTTTAATCTCCAAAGTGGCCTAATTATCTGCCACCCATGGTGAATTGCCCACCTTTTCCTATCCCCCTGGACGGGAATGGACATTTCAGGGTTGATCTGCAGAGACTAAAGGAATGAGCAGGAAGAGTGACAGCCTGCTGCTTCTTTGAGCCAATAAAGGGAAATAGATTTTGCCCCCTAAAGTCAAAGAGAATTTGTAAAAACAAAGTCCAAGCTAATTTAATATACTCACTTAATTATTTAAGTAGCAAGTCAATATTTCTCAATTACTCCATCTTACAAACACAGCCATGATAACAAAGGAAACGTTATTTAAATCTGGCCAAAAAAGTGAGCCCAGATAGAAAAGAGAGCGAAAGGCTACATCTGATATGACTTAACAAAGGCGAGGAAAGATCCAACCTTTTCCAGAAAATAAATCATAACCACACTTATTGCCAAGATCCAAAGAAAAAAATTTATTTACAATAGAGAATTTTATTTGAAACATGCATTTTTCTTTTTTTTTTTTTAAACAAATCAGCAAATGCAGATCAAGTTTACACTCCTTAAGGCAAGAGTCCCTTTGCAAGCTGTACATGATCATATTAAATCCAAAAGCCGCTCACCCTGGAAACTCATGTACAAAGGGCAAGGCCAAGGTCAGCGATTTGTCTTTTATTAGAGAATCAGACAATCTCCCTGATACAGGAACTCTGAGGTCAACTTGCTATGAATTATACTAGGAAAATGCAAACCAATAGCAAGAAATTCTGATAGTCTCCTTAGTACTGCATACAATCAAATCAACTTTATTTAGAAAGGAAATACAGTAGTGCATACGAAAAAGTGAAAACAGAACCTGTCCACATAACCGGAGGGACAGCAGTGTGCCGACGGTCATATTGCACGCAACGGTCAAGTCCAAACTTTTGGTTCAGAGTTAGCTTTTCCCCATTTTGGCAATCAGTTCATCACAAATCTTGGTGAGTTCTTCTATCTCTTTATTCTGCAAGTGAAGACAAAAAAAAGAGGTTGCTGAAATGTCCTGGTTGTTGGAAATCAAGCCAATCAGAATGGCCACTGGGCTTTTTTGTGTCCTCCGGGCTGATTGGTCCCCCTGAGGATATCTAAAGCAGCATGAGAAATGACCTGGAGCCAAGTCATCTGTGCATCCCAGCTCTAGCTGTGTGACCTTGGGCACGTTACACAACCTCTCTGAGCCTCGAGTTTCCTTATCTCAAAAGTGTAGATGATAACATCCTTCTCTCTCAGAATTAAGTGAGGTAAGAAATGTCAAGCTCCCTAGCACAGTGACCAGCTCAGAGTAATGGCTTAACCAGCATTCATCGTCTTCTGCTTATTTGCCTCCAAGGATGGGCATAAAAGGGTGGTCTGCAGTGAGCTCTTTGGTGGGTTTTTTTTGAGAAATGCCACCAGAGGGGTTAAGCAATTCTACTTGGATGGGATCCCTAGCATTATTCAGAGGATGCCAAGTGAGGCGGTGCTGTGGATACAGGGCGTGTGGAGAAGAGGGCAGACACAGGACATCTTCAGGGGCTTCTTGGGCCACACCTTGCCCATCCCCTGAAGCCCCATCACGAGGAGCCAACCACGTGTTCATCTCACACCAGAGATCTTCAGCACTGTCTGTTCTCCAGCAACGGGCATCCAACGGGGTGACGCCTCCATTCGGACGGTGGTGGCTTTGCTCAGATGGACTAAATGCCATGCCTGATGCCACTCTGGCTCAGCAGCCAGTCTTGACGGGTCCTCTCCTATGGGGCGAGACCTTTCTGTATCCCCAGAATATGGTGCGGCCAGCTTTCCCTTGAGGTCCCCGTGGAAGGCGAGTCTTAAGTCACAAGGCTGTGTTCTGAGACTGCATGGAGGCCCTTCTCTAGAAAGCTCTGGGCCTCCTAAGACACAGTCCAGCCGGGAGCCACATGCCCTGGGTACCTGGGCTGGGCTCCAGGTGCCGCTCATCGCTGAGCCGGTGCTCCGGAGAAATCTAGCCTCCTTAGCAGAGGAGGTTCAGTCCCGGTTGCAGCTGCAGATTCAGTCCTGCCTCCAGTCCCCACGAGGAGACAGCTCTGCCAGGAATATCACCTCGACCCACCTCCTGCCTAAAGTCCTAGGAAGCACTGAAATGCCTGCTGGGGGATGGGTTCTGCATGGGATGCAGGACGAGCCACTGATCCTGGAATTCCTGTTATCACCGCTCGGGCTGCTCGCAGTGATGTTTCATCTTATTGGAGCACTTTTAGCACATGCCTGTCACCGTGCAAACCCAGCGCAGGCCCTGGATTGCGCCCTGTTCTCACCATAATCTCTTAACAGAAACCATTATTATCCCGCTACTTTTCAGTGAGGAGACAGGCTCAGAGAGGTTAAGCGTTGTGCATGAGGTCACACAGTTGCTCAGACATAGCAAACCTGAAACACAAATTCCGGTTGGCCTGGTTCCCATACAGCTTGGCTATTTCACGTGTTAGGCACAACGCCTAGTGACGGATGGCGCAGGGGCACGGCCAGACCCACTAGCTGTGGATTCTTGAAGGTTCTCCAAGCTCTATCCTGGCACTGTCAGCCACCAGCCAGGAACCTGCCCTATCACGGAGTTCAGCTCACCAGGCAGAAGTCCCAGATCCTTTATCAAGTCCCAACTGGGCGAAATGCCCAATGCCTTCACCTAAGAGCTGCCTGGGGTGGGAGATGGGGGGCATAATACTTCTGAATCTCTTGAAAACAGAGACCACCCCCTCCGTATCACTTGGAGCCCTTTAGGGAAGAACTCATGTGGTTGACCCACTCCTCCTGAGTTTTAGTTTAAGACAAAATTATGTTTGCAGATACATTTTTTTCCCCCCATTATCCAAATCGGTGCAAAGCTTACTTGCTTTCTTCCTTGTCTTCTAGTTGGCCAGAAAACCTAATATCCATCACCTTCACTTTGCAACTATAATCATCTGAACAGGCCAGGTGCCTTGAAAGCATCCCTCCTGACTGGTTTTAGCTCTGCTGTTCTAGCTAACATCATGATGTGATTTAAACACCATCATACCCTGATGGAAATAGGAGGGAATAACTTCACACCTTCAAGATCTGGTTTAGTTCCCCAGCATTACAGACCTAGAAACCACAGTGAAGTGCCAGGCCTGTCAAGGAGCAGGATGGACGGCAGGGAGGTGTGGGGACCTGAATCTCCTGAGTTCTGAGCTCTTTCCCCAAGACCATGTAGGGGATGTCAGAGGTAGTAGATACCCTGCCCACCTCTGCCCACTGCAGAGGTTAGTACTGCTTGGCCCAGAACCCCTGGGGCCCAGCCAGTCACACTGGAAGCCGGGTGGGTGCTTCGAGAGGAGCAGAAATCATTGGGAGACAAACTGGACTCCTGATGCCACCTGCCTTTAAAGCACCCCCACCAATGCCCATCAAGACCCCAGTGCATGAGCAGCGCTGTGACCCCTGGCCACTGGGACCTCGATGACCATCCTGGGGCTCAGTAAATCAACCAGAATGGGGGTTCATGTCTGGAAACCCAGGGAGGGAGCCTGCCTGGCTCACACTCACTCAGAATCAGCCTCACGGCTCTCCTGGGTGGGAGAGGCTTCTCTGTAGGACAATCAGGGAGTGAGTGTGTAAGGGAAACCAAGTCCTTGACTGGAAATCAGAAAATCTGGGCACAAGCTGAGAAACCTCAAAAGGATCCTCCTCCAATCCACGGAAGGAGAAGGACACCTGGGGGGCCTTTCTGACCCTGGCACTGCCCATGTTCTGCAGGTGTCTCTGCCCAGGGTGTTGCCTGGTGGGCACCATCCTGCTCACTGGGTGCAAGGGTTAAAGCACTGTGCCTGGCACATCACAGTTGCTGAGCAAACATTTGACAAATGAACGAATGTTGAAAAGGAATGGAAAATGAGTTTCAGGGAAGGCAGAAAGGGAGCCAGTCTCAGAGCTGGGTTAACCTGGATTTTCCTGGGGGAGGGCAAGGCCGCGGCCGTGAGCATTAACCTGCCCCAGCAGTGCCTGGCATGTGGCCCAGAGTGAGAAGCCCGGCTATGTGTGTCCGAGCCTCTGGCCAGCCCCGCCCGCTTGGAGGCAGCGACCTCAGCCTGTTACCTTCTGCTCCAGCGTTCTCTCCAGAGCGTCCACTCGCAGCTGCTCCTTCCGTAGGCTGGCCTGGTAGGCAGCCTGCTCCTGCTGGGCCTTGCCCCGGACTTGGGCGATCTCGGCATTGGCCCTGCAGGAACGGGTTGAGGATGGGGTTCGGAGATGATCACTCTTCCCTGGAGATGCCTCCCACCCTCTTCCTCCCCACTCTGGGAACGTGTGCTTGCTCAGTCGCTTCAGTCGTGTCCAACTCTGCGACCCCATGGACTGTTGCCCGCCAGGCTCCTCTGTCCATGGGATTCTCTGGGCAAGAATACTGGAGTGGGTTGCCATGCCCTCCTCCAGGGGGCCTTCCCGACCCAGGGATCAAAGCTGCATCTCTTATGTCTCCTTCATTGGGCAGGCAGGTTCTTTATCACTACCGTCACCCGGGAAGCCCTTCAAACCTGGGCAGGGGAACCAACCATCTGGCTCCAGCTCCCTCCAACGGGGGTCTGAGCACAGGAGCCAATGAGAACCCCCCATCCCTGTGATGCTGAGATGCTTCCAGTGTGTACCCTGGAAATTGCAACACACATCCCTCACTTATCAAGATGGATAGTGATGGAGAGTGCGTTATCTTAAACTGTATTGAAAAATGCAGCTGGATTATCCACTCAGCTGTGGGATTGGGATTGGGAATTATCCATTATCCCAAGGCAATGGCAGGGGTGCCAGGGAGCTCCCAGCCAGCCTCGGCCAGGGCTGGCTACTGAGGGGCCCTTGGGAGCAGACTCCAGTGGCCTTACCTGTCTAGCTTCTCCTCCGCATGGACCTTCAGCGCCTGGTACCTCTGTTCTTCCTTCTTTACTCGAGACAGGTACTCTTGTGCACACTTCTTCAGCACCTCTTCATTCTGACGACGACAGAGCACAGGGGTCAAGCCCACAGAAGAAAATCCAAGGAGGGCTGGGGACCCCGAAGGCTCACGGATGTAGGTGTAATCCCTGACCGCCGAGTCCTACCCCCCGTTCTGCGAGGATGGCCTTCCAGAGCACCCCAACGGTGCTCCCAACCCGCCCCACCTCCCCAACCACGCGGATCTCGCCCTCCCCCAACCACGAACACCAACACACCTTGCGGAAGCCCTCCAGGACCTCCTTCATCTTCTCATATCTCCTGAAGAGATCAGCCAGAGATTTCTCCACGGAGTTCAGGTCGGCCAGGGCTTGCTCCTTCTCCAGGACCAGCTGCTGGACGGTCTGGTGGGAGACCGACTTCTCCCTCTGTTCATCCTCTGGTGGGAGACACAGGGAACAAAATGATGGAGCCCACAGCTTCTGGACCGGGTCTCCGGGGCCAGCTGAGGCCTCGGGTGCAGCTCAAGTCTGACCTGTGGGTCATCTTGGATCTCGGCTTTCAGCTGAGACAGACCCGCTCCCTCAAGCCCCCCCAGACTCTGCCTCTGAAGGAACAAAATTCACAGCTCCAGCATCCCAGGCCTAGGCCTGGACCACATTAGATGGGCTGGAAATGAACCAGTATCCTTTAACCTGATCACTGCAGCCCCTTAAACTAGCCTGGAGACCCTGCTGATTCTATCTGGTTGTTGACAGCATAAGGACCGATCCATACTGAATTTGGTGTTGACCCAGAATAAAATGTGCTGTAGATTGAGCTGTGAGGGAAGCTCATCCCCCTTCTTAAGCGTGATGAAGCTACAGAGATGGTCATAGGAAAAGAAAAAGGCTTCTTCATCCTTAAAACATCCCATGAACCCCAAGCCCACATAACTGTGGCCCTGAATCCTGCTCCACACAAAAAGGGCCATAACTCCCAGGAAAATGGAGCTATTTCTGTCGGATTGACTTTCTCAGTTATGCACAAAACAATTAAATTCTGGCCCGGTCTGGAGCAGCTGATCCTGGTGGCAGGCTCTGCACGCCATCCTGTCATTGGTCTGCGTGGGCAAGGATTGCTCTGATCGGTCCGGAACTCTGCTAGCAGCAGAGAGTCAGTGTTGGGGAGCAGCCCTGCTTGGAGCCCCTGTCCGTCCTCAGGTCACCTGGGAGGGCCCCTGGGCCGGAGGATGGACAGCACCTGTCAACGATGACGCCGCCACGGCAGAGCAGCGGCCCGTGAATACTGGGCTCCTGCACGTCAGGCGCTGGGCTGACCGTCCTCTCGATTCAGGGCCCCTCGGCCAGCACCTGGCAGTTGGGCTGAGCTTCCAGAAGTCCAAACCGGGTCAACCCCTCCTTCCAGGGGCCCCCCTCTGCACTGGAATAAACCCCCACCCCACATGCTCTCTGCTCTCAGCACCGCTACGCCTCCGCTGGGAAAGCTGGCCTGGAGCCCCCAGTGGGCCCCACCTCACCCAAAGACACCTTTTCCGAACCCACGTGGGAAACACCTCGTCTGCATGCCCAGAATGGGTTTCCCTGGTGGCTCCATGATAAAAGAATCTGCCTGCCAATGCAGAAGTCACAGGTTCAATCCGTGGGTCAGGAAGATCCCCTGGAGTAGGAAATGGCAGCCCACTCCAGTATTCTTTTCTGGGAAACCCCATGGACAGAGGAGCCTGGCATGGGGCTCCACAGGGTGGCAAAAGAGTGGGGCATGGCAAAAAAAAAAAGAGTGGGGCATGGCTGAGCAACTGAGCACCCAGCACCAAGTCCGGCAGTGACCACTCCTCATCGTCATACCAGACATGTGGGTGTGCACATGTTTGTATAGAGAATGCACGCTCCAGACATGTGGGTGTGCACGTGTTTGTATAGAGAATGCACGCTGCAGACATGTGGGTGTGCAGGTGTTTGTATAGAGAATGCACGCTCCAGACATGTGGGTGTGCACGTGTTTGTATACAGAATGCACGCTCCACGAGAGCAGGGTCCTGTGAGTCTCTTCTGTCCACGGCTCTGTCCCAGGCCCAGAACAGGGCCTGTGAGAACAGGACGCCGCAACACAAGCCTGTGGTCGTGCAGTGAATGAATGAGCAGGGCGGCCCTGAGGCTGAACTCCAATCTCCCGCACAGGAGAAGCTTAGTCCCTTGTTCACTGAGGATGCAACAGAGCCAGAACCAGACCCAAGGCTGTGCTCGCAACTGGGTCTCTACGTGGGCCTCTTACTAACGCAACTGGAAGGATCAGTTCAGTTCAGTTCAGTCGCTCAGTCGTGTCCGACTCTTCGAGACCCCATGGACCATAGCATGCCAGGCCTCCCTGTCCATCACCAACTCCCAGGGTCTACTCAAACTCCTCTCCATTGAGTCGGTGATGCCATCCAACCATCTCATCCTCTCTCGCCCCCTTCTCCTCCTGCCTTCAATCTTTCCCAGCATCAGAGTCTTTTCAAATGAGTCAGCTCTTCGCATCAGGTGGCTGAAGTATTGGAGTTTTGGCTTCAACATCAGTCCTTCCAGTGGAAGGATGGAGCTCCCTTAAGAGTGGGGAGATGCTGCTTTGGGTTCTTTCCCCTTAGATTCTTGATAGATGGGCACCTTTCTGTATCCCGACGTCAGGCGTTTTCCTGTCTATGTGTGGACAGGAGTGAAGAGTACACAACAGGGACCACATTGTGGTTTCGGCTCCAGCCCTGACCGTAAACTTGCTCAAAGTCCTCACTTGAGGTCCCAGGGCCTCAGTTCCAAAATGAGGGGCTTTGCACATGTGAGCATGCACCCTGATCAGCTGGGAGCTTGTTCAAATGCAGGCAACTGAGCCCGCCCAGCAGGGTCTGATTCGGTCATTCTGCAGGGGGACTGAGGATCTGCGCCTGTGACAAGGTCCCCAGCGATGCTGAGATGGCTGGTCCAGGGACCATGTCTGGAGAACCACAGGCCAGGAAGATGCCTGAGGTCCTGCCTCTTAGTTTCTCCTCCCAGGGCAGAGCTGAAGAACCAGGAGCCAGAGTCTGACAGCCCACGTCCCAATCCTAGCTCTAATAATTCCTGGCAGTGTGACCTTGGGCAGAGTTTTTCAGCTCTGTCCTCCACATCTGAAAACACGGGATGAGAGGATATATCTATGGCATTTGGGGAAGATTAAATATAAAGCCCTCAACATATAGTAAGAAGTCAGTATCAGCACTCCGTTATCAACAGCATCACCATCTCATGGAACTGCTATGATGTCAAGTTGCAGGGACCCACGAAGGGGGAGCTTCTGAACATATAGTGAGACCAGAACCACCGACAATCTGCTTGCTACATCTAGACTCCTAAAAGAAAGGGCACTTCAAAGTTCCACCAGTAACCAAATGCTTGTTTTTATTCTTTGAATTTTAGCTGCTTCCTTAGTTCTCAGCAAGCTGTATAATACACATTCTGGGCTGGTTTCAGGCCATGTATACATTTCACTTGGCTTGGTAAAGGAGTCATTTATCAAACGGAACCCATCTGATTTCCTGGATCTGAGATTAGACTGCCTCAGGCTTCCTTTCCTCACCCCCCATAACCCTTGTAAAAATAGAATTTCCCTGTTCCCAGGAGACTGAAAAGGAGAGAATGCTTCACACGTCTTTTTTTGTAAATGACAAATGCTGCTAGGTTCTTCAAATCAGGAAATCAGCTCAAAACCCAAGATGTTCTAGACACAACAGTAAAACAATGGCCCTGGAGATTTTTTGGCTTTTTCAGGCAAAACACTGTAAAACCATGTGGGGAATGCAGCCAAAACACAAAAGCAAAAGTAACAAAAATAGAAAAACAAACAAATAAGGGTTGCAATGGGCGGGTGTCAAATTAGGTGAAAAAGCATTTACTTACCAGGCTTGCCTGTTTGTTTTGCAAGCAAAGGGCAAGAAGCAACAGAAAATGGAAGCAAAACAGATAATCAGGGCAGTTGTTAGGAAAGCAGGAAAAAAAAAAAAAATCAATTGCAACAACCTGGAATGCAGAAAGCACAGAAATCCTTTTTTGTTCTGAATTCTGAACAGTCGATATTTGAACTTAATGAAATATAGTCTCTTTAGTATCATATGATGAGAATGAACAGTGATAGCAGGACAGATGTTACACTGACATAGAGCATTTGTAAAGGTTAAATGGAAGCCAGGGGGGCCAGGCGGGAACCAGGAAAGGCTAGTGGAGGTGGAGTGGAAGCTGGTTTTAACCTCAGAATGCTGTTACGTTTATTCTGGGCCCTGAACTGCCCAGCTCTCTGGGTCTGAGTTTGCCCTTCCGTGAGGAATGCTGGGTGGGTGAGTGGGAACGAGAAGAAAGAGACAGGATCCAGATAAGAAACACGGGTGGGTTTCCTGCTCAGAAAGAAGGCAGGTCCCGCCCACAGCTACAGTGAGTCCCAGCTGTGCTGCAGCCCCACGCTGTCCTCGGCAAGGACGAGGACCCTGAAATCGACAGAGGCCCCAGTCGGCGACCTGCAGTAACGACTAATGGATGACATGCAGAGACGGGCCACTGTGCTCCGAGGAGACCCGCTCTGGGAACGTGGATGATGAAGAGGACAATGAGTGGCAATGGGGACACACAAAGGGGCGCCACCAGAGAGACAAAGCTGCTTCCAGCCAGGGATGTTGGGGGGCTGGCAGAGCCACTGGGAGTGCGCTCAAGCACCCCCAAACAGGAAATCGCTCAAAGCGGGTGATCTTAGAGCTCTGGAAGAGATGGACCCTCAGGCCAAACACACCAGGTCTCTTGGGAAGGGAGAGGGTTGGGCATGTGTGGCCTTAATCCCTGGAATCAGGGTTCCATACGCTCCTCAGATTGTCTAGAACTGAAAACTGTTCTAACGACTATCACCTGCAGATACGCAGCAAGAAAAGCATCAAAGGGGAATAAGCTTTCTGTCTCCACTTAGGGTGACCACGTAAGGACAGGCCACTTACGTCAACTAGAGATTCTGACTCTTATCAGTTTTCAAGAGGGAAATGTCGGCTTCTATCAAATTGCCAGTTGAGCAAGTAAGTTAGGTTGCTGTGGGCAGCCTGCTGTCAGGGCGAAGGCTCACGTTCTCTTCAACACTGGCCTAACCGTCATCATCAAGAATAAAAGTAAAAATGTACGACTCCCAGGTGTGGAAGGACGTTTCTAGATGAGCCAGGTAGGTCTGAGTGATGCTTTCACATCCCAAGACTCCGGGAGGTGGAAAGGTCTCACTCAGCTCGCCAAACAGTGTATATTGGAAGATATAAATGCTTCCTTCTGACCACGTTCAGCAGCAGTTTCAGTTCCAAGAGTTTTTCTTTTAATCTCATCCATATGTATCCATAAATTCTTATACCCATTTAACAAAGAGGTTTCATTTAATAGAAAGCATACACCATGAGGCAGATTCTCAAAAAAAGACCCCAATGGGCTTTCCCTTGAGCTCTAGGAGAAATGGCTGTTATTAAAATAAACCAAAATGAAAGCTTTTTTGAAAAGAAAGCACTCAATAGGCAGCTTCTTCCGTGTTCCCAAGGCTCCTGTCATGTTTATCTTGGGACAAAAGCTAGAGGTATGGTAGACTCATATGATGAGAAGTCATCAGTTGAAACAAGCATCAAGTTGGAACACAGAAACTGTGGTCTGCACTGAGCACATGTCCTTAGGAGTAAAAAAAAAATTTAAATCCAGTATCATGGACGTAAGCAAATGAATAAATAAGCAAAAATTCCACACCTGAAAACCCCCAGAGTCTTAACAGCATTTCTAAATAGTGATGATTAGTGAAAAATCTTGGGCTTGCTTCTGCAAGGTCTTTTCTTGATTTTTCTTCAAGAGCAGAAGAGCCAGTTACTTGAGGTCTGGTTACTTGAGGCCTTCTTTTATTGCAGGCCAAAGTAATCTGTCAGTACCGGCTGCCAGGGATGCTGTGTCAAGACAGATTCTGAGGCAGTATCCAACCTCAGGAAGAAACAGCAGTGATCAGTTAATAGGGGCAGGCAGCTGGGCTGTCACATGTTCTAATATTCCTTGTCCTGGACCCTGTGTAAAGGCCAGTGGGGTATTTTTTTTTTTTTTTTTTTTTGCTTGCATCTAATCTATATTAGGGTTTAGCAATTTGATGTTAGAGATCTAATTCTCTCCCATGAGCAAAAAAGCCTCCAAACATCCTAGGAACCAACCCCAATCTTTTCATTAGGGTTGGGCCCCTATGAGGTGGGCTATCCTGGCTGGGTCAAATGGTGACCATCAAGGTGATGGCCATGGCTCCCCACTGCATACTAAGGGACGTGTGGGCGGGTGTTTCCAGGAGGTCCCCAGATTCACTTGCCTGCGGCAGAGCCTCGTTCTGGGAGGCTCTGGTCCCTCCCCAAAGGGCTTCATGCGCTAAGAGAAGCCTGAGAGGAACACACTCTGGGTCTCTACCTTCAAAGCCCTCCCTACAGTTCAGAAACCTCAGGGCAGGCCTGAGCCCCTGCCAGTGAAGACACTCACCTATCATCTGGGCAATGGTCTTCTCATACTCGGCCACGATTTTCCTGTAAGAGAAGTGGAAACAGGTTGGTACTAGGACCACACAATGGTTTTTACTTTCACGCGGGTGCCCGTGCACTAACATCAACAGCCTGTCCAAGAGGACAAATCTCATGGGTCCCAGTGGCTCAGAGGTTGAGGGTCCCCTCCAACCTCAGCTCTCTCCTTGCAGACCCAGGTAGGTTCATGCTCCTCATGCACAACTCTGAACACATCACTCCCTTGTATAATACAGAACACTCTGTGTCTCTCCACTGCCCACTGAAAAAAATCAGGCTAAAACTTCAGTCTGATAGTCGAAGCCTTCTGTAACCTAGGCCTGATCTTCTTCATCAACTGTACCTCCTTCCATGCCATCCTGTGAACACAGTGGTTCAATGACAGCAAATGATTTCTTATCTGCTCTGAGCTTTCTTACCTCCATGGCCTTGAACATGGTTGTTCACTTGCCCTCCATCTCTACCTGTCAGAATCTGTTTCTCAATGTCCAATTCAAATGCTCTCTCCTCCAAGAAGTCTTCCCTGATTCTCTTTAGAACCCAAGAACATTTTCTTCTTTTTTTCTTTGGTTTTGGTCAAGTCACTTAACCTAATCTCTGAGGCTTCAAACAGGGTTGGACTGTCCCCTTAAAGGCTGTGGGGAGAAACAGATCATATGCCTCTAGCCAAAAGCTCAGTGCTTGGCACATAGCAGGTGCTTCCCATGTGGTAGACGTCATACTTCTATGACTATATACAGAAAATGAAAATAAATCACTCAAGTGAAATTTGGAAGACACCCTAAATGTTTATCCATTGAGACTGGTGAAATTAATTATATTAGACCCTCACAAGGACTGTCAAGCAACTGAGTAATAAGATCGAGATATATAAAAATCTGTCTAAGTTATGGTAAGTTAAAAAAGAATGTAGGGTCACGTATACTTCTATACTACACTGAAGAAAAAGGAGGTTATACTGATACCTTAACATATCTGGGATCAGAAATGCAAAAGTCTAAGAAGTATACACCTGTGAAAGGATACACCTATGAAATGGGACATAGCAGGTACCTGGCTGTGGCACCAGAGGCTGAGTGGGAAGGAGATTTGTTTTTCATTGTAGGTATATTTTGTTGTCGTTCAGTCGCCAAGTCATGCCCGACTCCCTGTGACCCTGCAGGCTGCAACGTGCTGGGCGTCTCTTTCACTATCTCCTGGAGTTTACTCAAATTCATGTCGACTGAGTCGATGATGCCATCCAGCCACCTCATCCCCTGCTGCCCCTTCTCCTCCGGCCCTCAATCTTTCCCAGCATCAGAGTCTTTTCCAATCAGTGCATTATTTAACTCGTGCTCATGGTATTTTAATACTAGTAATATACTAAGAATCCTTGTGGAATAAAGAGTAACTTCTATAGAGGACACCGTTCATGGGGCCACACCAGTTCTAGCTGTTATCGAATCACAGGTAAGCATTCCCCAGGTAGCCAGGAAGCCCGAGTATCACAACTGACCTCATTTCCACCACTTCCCGCCTGCTTTCTTCATATTTATCTTTCCACTCTGAGACCTCTCTCTCCTTGGTTATGATCTAGTATCAGGGCGAAGAAGAGGCAAGGTTAGTCCCAGATGAGTCCATTTGGATGTGAGCAATTCACAGACCAAGACAAGGAGACATGAACAAACATGGGATTAAAACCTGCTACACCAAACAATCACTGTACTGAGAGAATTTCCCCAAGCGTGACAGAAATAAGCCATTCACCAGACTTTCACAGTGCCCTTGGAGAGCAACAAAAATGCGTGGGCTTTTGTTGTTGTTGTTATAAATCAAACGAGGCCAACAAAGGCTTATTAAACAATAGTGTCCAAGATCAAAACCCACGGATTGCCACCTGTCTCTGCCGGCAATGGTCAGAGGAGAAGGTCTGTGTCCAGAGATGCTGGCTTTGTGGGCCATGGGGACGTATGTTTATTTACAACTTTTTGCAGGCACCCAGAGCTGGCCCCGCCTTCTTGAAGGCACTTGCATGCCACGGTACCTCTGCCCTGGCGATCTGGAGCGCAGAGTCCAGGTCGGGCTGCTGGAACAGAAGGCCTGCGGGCTTCTCCACCTCGGCCGTCCCGATGCGGGAATACAAGGCTGTTTTGGAGATGGAGACATCCGGTGGGTGAGCAGCTTCTCTCTGTGGAACGGTTTTTAATTTTAAAAAGTGAACATCATGCTTCTGACAAAGAGAACTGCATTCATCCTCTCATGAATGGGTCAGTTGTATGGTTTTGAAACAAAGAACACCGAAAGTATGAGAAAATGCTAAGACTAATGAACGGGGGAATGCCGGATACAATCTACAGCAGTCTATCGTTTTGCATCTGCACAGGCTGACAAAGAGGCTGGTGGTGGAGGCCTCCCTGGCTCCCGGCCCCTGGAGTCAAGCATGTCTAGTGCCTGTTTATCACTGCTGTTTATCAGACACAGAGGCTTTTAGCCACAGCGAGTATTTACCTAGGCCACCTTCCAGCAGGCACCACTTCCAAAATAAAAGCCTGACGGTGAACAATGCTGAATTATACTCTATGTTTGCCTCGTTCTGAATAAACACAGATCTGATGGTTTCTGTGAGACCGTCCACATTTCAATTTAGGGGGCATCGGTTAGCTCTCTTTGAAAGTATATAAACAAGTCATACAAAGTTTTTAAGACCTACTATAGTCAACAAGCAATGTCACCTTCAGTGAACTAGTTTCTGGATGCCAAAAGGTGAGCATTACACTGGAGTTCAACGGTGTCAATGGGAAAATAGAAAACTGGATTACTGACAATATCCATGTGCATGAATGTGTGCAAATAAGACCCTGGAGAAGCACTGTGATTCCCCACTGCCCGCAACTGACACTGGCTGGTCACCAGGGAGGAGAGGTCTACACTGACTGTTCTTCCTTTTGCACAAACGCTCAGCCGTTTCCAACACACTTGAAAAGCAGTGTTAGGAACACCACCAACCAGCGCAGCAGGGTTGTCAATCTAGCTCTACTGCAAAGAAACGCCAAACCAATCACACTCCCAGTCCCATTCATTAACCTCCTGGCCCGTCGTGGTTGCCAAGGCAAACCTCCACCCTGGTTACTAGAGTCTGATTCGATGCAGAGCTACGGTGGGAGGAGGGAACTGCTTCTTCCTTGGGAAACATGTAGAAGAAACGGAGCCATGAACAGAACAGTGATGTAGAAGCAAGAGATGTGGGGATGGAACAGTGAGGACTGATCATGTAGGTGGAAGCAGAGACTAAAGAACCAATAGTAAGTGGGAAGGGAGTGACCTGAAGGTGCTTGAGCACAATCTCTCTCTTCAGTCACGGGAACAGGTATGCTTACCCTACTGTGGCCTCAGAGACAAGGAACCTGAGACAGCTCGGAAGACGCAGGTGGAAGCTTAATGAATAGGACTGGAGGTCACGGGGTTAGGACCAGTTAGTTGTACACATGCATGATAAACTAAGCGGTTTACACTGTCCTGGAAGCAAGCATCTGCTGTGTGGCTGTCACACCCCAGCCTGATCTTGGGTATCTGGGTTAACTCTCAGGTGCAGCCAGAACGACTGCTGCTCAGAGGGGAGAACACAGTTTTGTTCAACCAGACATCAGGGATGCCCACCCATCAGATGGAATGCAGGGATCCTTTAGCCTCAGGTCCTAAAGGTATTCCATGGCAGGACATTTGAGCAGAACAGCCAACAGCCAGAGCTAACAGCTCTCGGGAGCAGGCAGACTGACCTCTTAGAAGAAAGAGGGCCACCAGACTGGAGGGCAGAGCCTCTCCCATGTAGGGGTTAATTTGTGATGTTTGCAATGTTTTCAACATTATGCTTGTCAAAAGGGAAACTTCTCAGGAAGTAAATGGAAAATTATAACGGCATCAAGACTCAGTACTTACATTTATCATGAAAGTTCAAAAACAGAAAATTCTGAAGAGGATTTTTTTTTTTAAACTTGTACCTATCAGTTAAATAAAATAATGTGTTCTTTGAAAAAAAATCAGAATAAAATTTCAAAATGGAAAGAACATCCCGGTCCCTCTGATGAAAAAAATGAGAATCTAAATAAGATTTGGCCAAATCATTTCCCAGAATGAGATTCAATTCTGACTCCAAATAAACCAGCTCTCTGAAGTGGAAAAGAAAAATGAATGAAAACTAATTTTACTATACTGGGCAGAAATGAAATAAGATCGATGCAGGAGTTAATGACCTTTAAGCTGCCTCATGTCCTTTGTAAAATAAGGACAGGGATGAAAAACAAACAAAAGGATGAGCTTTCTAAGTAAACGCAAATGGTTACTACCGACACAGTGATTCATCATCACTGGTCATCCTGGCCACCTGAGTTTTCAATAAAGAAATACGATGACTTCAGAGTCCATCTAAATTATCATCCAAGTATCTGCATGTCAATGAAATTCAAGATACACACCCTGGTTTTCTCTTACAACCAAGGATTGTTTTAAACTGAAATTAATAGCTCTGTCTCTTCCTGATATTTTAAGATCAGACTTAGATTAAGCTCTATTTCTCTCACATAATCTCCCATTTGCTACTTTAGAGGAGCCAGGAAGCCCCTAGCATTGCAAATTAAAATGTGAGATGGCATGACTCAGACCACATGGGACTATGACCTCAATCCTCTTCCCTAAACTTTGATTCCTGTGGGGACCCCTGGAGCACTGTCACCCCAGTGAGACCTACAGATACGCCCGGGGTCCTTCTGGCCCTGCAGCCAGGGGCTGCGGGTCCTGTCCCTCACCTGGGCTCGGAGTCCTCCCCGTGGCCAATCAATCCCGTTGCCAGGCTTACGGGAAGCTGCCATGTCCGGGACCAAGGCAGGATCGCCGTCTCGGGGACCCGGGTGGCACAGCAGTGAGAGAGCACAGGGGTGGGGCCCAGGAGACGAGATCGGGCCATGGGTCAAGGTCACGGAGCTGGGCCAAGGTCATGGAGCGTGGACACAGGCTGCACGCCTGGGGGTGTCTGGGCCACATGGTGCCAGGTCAGACAGAGAGCAGCCTCACCCTGCTACTGTGCTACCCAAGTCTGACAACAGGCGGTCTCGAGCTCAGGATGACAAGCAGGAGGAACGCACTTGATACGTGCCCTTAACCCACTCACACAGGAGGCACCGCCAACGCCAACCGGCCACTCCATCCCAGTGGGTCAAGACGTGGCCTCGGAAAAGAGGGTGGAACAAACACAGAGTGGCTGACATATATCACTGCCATGTATAAAACAGATAGACAGTGGGAAGCTGTATAGAATAGCTCAGTGCTCTGACCTAAAGGGGTGGGATGGGGGGCGAGGAGGGGAAGGGAGGTTCAAGACGGAGGGAATATACGCATCCTATATATAGCTGATTCACGCTGTCCTAGAGCAGACAGCAACACAACATTGTAAAGCAATTATCCTCCAATCAAAACATAGATTAAAAAAGCCTGCATCTAAAAAAAAATAAATTCAAAAATATAAAATATAATGTATTCTCCCTTTAAAAAAAATAATAAAATTTCTGGGAGGAAGAAAAAGGCATGGCCTCAACCCTCAACATAGGCTGCAGGTGATGACCACAAATTCTTGCAGCTGGGCAGAAAGCTGAAACCCACGTGTGAGCCCTTTGTCACTGCTCTTCGGACGGTCGCTGTGGGCTTGGGGCATCATGTGGTTACCTGTGGGGGGGGGCCTGGACAGAGCAGGAGAAAAGGCACCTAGGATATCAGGCTGCTCAGCAACCACGCAACTGCCCCAGGCCTGATTCCGTCTCCTCCTGCTGCAACAAGCCAGGTCTCTGCCTTTATCAGCTAGGACTCCTGCAGGAACCATACACTAGGAGTAATGCCCTTTCCTGCCCAGAGGAGCCTGTTTCTAGGACTTCCTCCGGCCCCAAAGCTTGCCATTTGTAGATCCTTGATCCTAAGTTACCCAGATACAGCCTTCATTCTTTGTATAGGGTCCCCCTCTTCCCAAAAGGCCAACAGCTTCGGGACCACAACCAGTGTCTGTTACACACACAAATGCAATCTGTCCCTGAGTCCCGCAGCCCTTGGAAAGCCATGCAGATGGAACTCCAAGGTTCTATCCATCCTGGTTCAGTGGCGAATTCAGGGCCACAGCACCGCAGAGCCAGGGACCGGTCAGACCTACCCCCAGGAGGATACCACACTGCCAGAAGCTTGTGGAAGGAAAACAAGTTGGAGTCTGACACCCCAGCCCCTGGCGTTTCCCTCATTTCTAACCTTTTCTGACTAATGAGGAGGAGGAAGCCCCACTGTAGTCCCTGGAAGGCTGGCTTTGCTGACCCTCAGTCTAAAGGGAAACGCGAGTGAAGCTGCTCCAAGGAGCAAATGAAAATCACCCCGTCATATTTCATAATGCTTTTCATCCCCTCGGTGTGAGTTTTTTTTTTGTTTTTGAAATCTCTCTTCTGAGAGATTTCATTTTGTGTGAGCCACAATTTAAGACCACGCTGTCAAAAAGATGGGGGCTGTGTCACTTGCAACTGAAATATATGGGCAGCAAAGAGAGTCAATTGGATATACAGCTGCTATTTTCCCTTCCTATGTATCAACAGTTTCCAATGCACTAAGGGACTATCAAGCATCTCACGAACAAGAAACCCAGAGGGACCTAATTGGGTCCAGGCAAATGGATCACCCTAGGGCTAATTAACTATAGGAAAGAGCATCTATTTTCCATGGGCCAAGGTCCCTAGATAATAGACTTCTTACAAAAGCGGTACAGGTTCCCAGGGTGGAGGAAAACCCTCCTCATACTCCAAGACCCTATGGAATCATTCTTTTAACACGCCCTTCTGGAATACATAAGGAGGAAACAGGCGCTGTCTCTCCAAACTACACTCAGGAGATTCACGTGACAGTATTTTCTAAATCAGAATCAGGACACATGGTCTGAGAACAGGCTGTAACTGCCTGGGAGTCAACTGCTGGCCATCTCTGAGAAAGCAGGCAAGGGTACCAAGCAGTTCCAAACACTTCATATTCAATAAGAACTACTTAGAACATGATTCTGCCCCAAACTTCTGTACAAGAATAAACTGTATTCATAGTGACCAAACCTCAAGTAATTCATTCTGTGTTTAAGCCACTAACCAAGAATATCAAGAAATAAACCTAAGGGGGAAAAATTCCTTACTGCATAATGCATTCTAAAAATCTCATTTCATGGAAATTTAACCCAGGTTTATGGGTTGGCCACAAGAACAAGAAAACGAACAATTAGACTTTACATTCTTGTCTCAACTCTGGGTACCAATGTTCCTGGTATGGACACGCCCATGGGGAGACATCTCAGACATGTATCTGGAAAGCAGGGCGGGGGGCAGTCCCTGTTTGGCTCCAGGGGGACCACATGCAGGGGGCCCTCAAGGCAGGAGCAGCATGAATTCCTGATCCTGTATCAAGGATGAGAGATGGCCCTGCTGCTAGGCGAGCTGTCACTTGAGATGGACGGGCAACAGGCTCCCATCTGGAGATGTAAGCACTAGCTCCCGGAAAGCCAGTGAATCACCAACAGGCTTTGGGCTGGCTCCCAGGCTCCGTTTTCCCCGTCTGTAAAATGGGACCTGGACCTGCCGTATGAGAACAGATGCTGGGAGCGTCTCATCAGGAAACAGAGGCACCAGTGAAGGTCAGCGCCCATTCACTGATTGCACACCTACTGTGTGCCACGCACGGTGCTGCTCTCTGCACATCACCTACTGTCCTCACAGCAGCCTGCAAGCTTGCTATTAGCCTCTCGACAGGGATGGAAAACCCGAGGCTCACCCGCTGGTTCAAGGCCACAGAATGCACTGGGACCCAGTTCTTATCTAACAGCTCAGGTTTTTACAGGGCTGCCACTTGGGGGTTGGGTGTGGGGGAGGGAATGAGGCAGCTTCTCAAACTGCAGGGGCACCCGTCAGCCCTGGGGGTGGGCTGAACCTCTGCAGACCACGTGGTGTATTGCACGGCAACAGACACTCATCCCAACTGTTGAGCAAAATGACTCCAAACTTGGAAGCCAGCAAAACAATCTCTGCAGGCACTGTCAACATCATATTCTCCTCTAGAGAAAGACTGGCCACAGTCTCCTCTAGAGAAAGGCTGGCAAACTATAATGAGAAAGCAAAAGTGTGAGTCGCTCAGTTGTGTAGGACTCTTTGCCACCCCATGGACTGTAACCCAACAGGCTTCTCTGTCCATGGGGATTCTCCAGGCAAGAAGAGTGGAGTAGGTTGCCATTCCCTTCTCCAGGGGATCTTCCCAATTCAGGGATCAAACCTGGGTCTCCTGCACTGCAGGCAGATTCTTTACCATCTGAGCCAAACTACAGGGTGTGGGCCTAATGGCCTAATGCCATTTCCTGTAAAAGGTTTTTACCGGGCCCCACCAGACCCATTCATCCAGTGCTGTCCACAGCTGCTTTGGCAGAGCTGCAGAGTTGAGTAGCTGTCAGAGATCAGACAGATACCCGCAAAGCCTCAAATATTTACACTCTCTACTTGCAGGAAAGGATAGCTTTTCTGTAATCCTCTTGACCCTGGCCTAAGGGTCATCTGACACGTCAAGATCTTGTTTTCGCCTATTTACTACTGAGTAGGGTGTAGTCTCAGTATAATCATTATTATTATTCTATAATAATTGTAGAAAACAGAAAAGCTGCACATTACTTTTCATCAACAGAGAAGCAAATGATTTCTGTAGGAAGAAAACAGAACTTCAAAGGTTAGGATTTATCTGTGCTGTTTAACTATGAATAGAGTTAACCAGTCTTATATCTGACTTTGCAATCTCATCCCAGGCTCCTCACGCCTCTGACTGTACATGGGTTTCTAGTATTTTCCTCCATTCAAGCAGCTTTCCCACCCATCCTGCTTGGTTCCTTCTTAACCGAGCGGACCAGACCTCAGACATGGCCTCAGTGTGTACTCATGCACGAGTTACACCTTTAGCTTTTGTGGAGATATCATCCTTGGTCGAACACCTGCTTGGCCGTGGTTAGCAAAGAAGCTTCTGGACCACACAACATTCTCAAGAGGCAGCACACAGCAGAAGCAAACCAGTACCTTGGTGGCCTGGCGGCTACGGGCAGCCAGGGCGATCTGCCTGGCCAGCTTTGCTTGGCCGTGGTTAGCAAAGAAGCTTCTGGACCACACAACATTCTCAAGAGGCAGCACACAGCAGAAGCAAACCAGTACCTTGGTGGCCTGGCGGCTACGTGCAGCCAGGGCGATCTGCCTGGCCAGCTTCAGGGCTTCTATCCGCATGATGGCAAACTCTAACTCCTCCTGCCGGAGGGGTGGGAAATGAGCAGATCGCAGGGAAAATGCAGCGAGACAGGACGGAGATGTTTGTCCACATCCAAGAAACGAATGGGCCACGTGAATGTGTCGTGACAGGTACTCGGGGAAACACACGCGCTGGCTTTCTTTCACAATTAACACCTCAGCAGATCATGAAATAGGTGCTTAATTTCCTTTTTTTTTTTTTTGTTAAATCACCCTTTGGAATGTCAGAAGTATTATGCCGTCAAATATGAAATGATTTTTAAAACGGGACCAGAATTTTTAGTCCACTGTTTCCTTCGATTTCTCTCCTTGTGTTCATTTCATGTAAGGTTGGCCAACAATTTCCATGAGTGATCTGCATCTCTCAAAGGACTATAAGCCATCTCTCTAGGTTTGCTCTGCACGTCCCAGTCTAGGGGAATATCAAATTAAGTGGTCAAATTTAAAGCGCAGGGTAGAGAGAATGGTTTTGGTTCCAGATGCAAGACCTGAGTCCAGATGTTATCTCAATGGGGGTCTGAGGATAACCTCATATATATAAACAGTCTGGCTCGCTGGTGAGCTAATATCCTTGGTTCCATGAATAAATCACAGAAAGCTGCTTTTGGGGCTATCAAGACATCTGAAAAATGACTGTTTGGGTCCAATTTCCAAATTGAAATACAAATGGTTTGTTCCATATGGAAAGACACGATTTATATCACTCTGGCGTCCCGGGTAGAGAACGCCACATACATCAGTCTTGGAGGGGAAGCGATTCCATCTGGAACATTCACGGCAATGCTCCATGAACTCCTGCATCGCGGCTTTTGGAGTTTGGAGATTCATTCTCTACTGAGGTTTTTGACAAACTCCCCCAAAGTCACACATGGGCTACAAACCTGAAGTTTCTGAGCAAAGACTGGGGGGTTCTTTTCTGCTAAGTCGGGCTCCAGATAGTCAAGCGCACCACAGAGAGAGGCTGGATGAGCTAGCCTGCTGAGGAGGGCGTCAGCAGAGGCAAAGGAGCCCTCGGGAGCTGTCTGAAGGCCGGCAGAGGAAAAATAGAGGAGACAGAGTGACAGCTTCTGAGCAAGACCACCCATCTGTTGGCTGAACATTTCTGCCTTAAGGCTAAAGAGAGTATCAGTTAGGTGCCAGTACTCCCCTTTTCATCTGGACTGATGTCCACGTGCTGATGACGGGCATCTCGAGACTGGCAGGCCCAACCCCCTCCCCCAAAGCTCCGTCTTAGGGTCCTTCCCCACCCCCACACCACCCCCACTCCATAACCAGCTGCTGGGAGGAGAGCTGTCCTTAGTTACTTGAAAACCTCTGCAGGTGGGAGACAAGCTAGCAGATGGGGATTCCAAATGTAACATAACTCATCAGGAAAATACTTTCCAGTATAAATATCCAAAGTAAGGTTTTGGGAAAGGTCATTTTCTAAATAATGGAAAGATGCTTTCAAAAGAAAAAGATCAGAAAGACTTCAAAATCAGAAGCCAACTTGGCAGAAAGTTGAATTATGCATGAGTCCATCATGATGTCTATTTGAAAGATGCTCTGAGTCCCGTCTGGACCATGTTTTTGCTCACAATTATCTTTCCAGTGTCCAACAGCCAGACACACAGTAGGTGCTAAATTAAGTACTTGATGCATGAGATAAATGAATGTCTACTCATCCGGAACAACAAAGTAACATGCTAAGTCAATGGGCTCAAACCATTTTAGGAATTGTGAGGAGGGAGGTAAAAAAACCAAAAGAAGATTCATCTAGAAGGATGATCCATTTTAGATGTGTGGAGGTTGGGGGCGGGGCCTTGAGCTCAGGTCTATTCGCTCTGCGAAGCCCCACAGGGCTGGGGAATGAAGAGGTGTTAAGTCCTGGTCTATAAACAGAAAGCACTTCCCATCACCAAGGCCCAGGAGAACCAACTGTCTCTCAAAAGGAGAGCGTCTACCTGCTCTACCGTTCTCTGCCCTCTGCCAGAGAAGACAGAGAGGTAGGGTATAGACGTATGACAGCTCCAAAGCCACAGTCTAGCTGGAAGGGGCTGGAAGTGGAAAACTAATAACCATGAGAGCAAATAATGCACTTAGGTGAGAACTGCAAAACCACCTTGGTCAGGACGGGGAGCCTTCCTCTGATCATTATGCGGTGGGATGACCTAGGCTAGCTTCCAGCCCCATGCCTGGTACCAGGCAAGTGGCGCTTTAAAGACCTGGCCCACGCAGTGATGGAAGCCCACTGGTCCCCGGCTCACCCACAGTGATCTCGGGTCCCTCCGACCCCACTTACAATTTCCATCACCTCCGATGCAGTGCCCAAGGCCATGGCCTCCAGCTCCTTCTGGGAGGACTTCTCTGGCACCTGCAAGTGTGGCTCCTGGTTGGGGGCCAGCCCTCGTGCAACGGGATGTTGGATCTTTGCCCCTGTATTCACAAGGGCTTCGGTCTCCTCGAAACTTGAGCTGAAGAAGCAAAGGGCATCTTTAGAGTCTGCACCAGAAATCCCACCAAAATCAGCCAGGATGCCTCGACTAATATGCCAAGGTATGCTGGACTTCCAGGGTTATAATCCCCGAGGAAAATGGACAGGTCTTAGGCAGCCAAGGGGCCTGTTGGCCGGGTGGAGGGTGGTCCAGTCCCACCCCAGAACCTGCTGACCAGGTAGAGCCAGAAGTACAGATGCCATCTAGCTAAGGACACAAAGTGTGAAAGTACTAATTGCTCAGTTGTGTCTGACTGTTTGCAACCCCATGGACTGTAGCCCACCAGGCTCCTCTGTCCATGAGTTTCTCCAGGCAAGAACACTGGAGTGGGTTGCCATTCCCTCCTCCAGGGGATCTTCCCAACCCAGGGCCTGAACCCAGGTCTCCTACATTACAGGCAGATTCTTTACTGTCTGAGCTACCAGGAAAGCCCAAGGACACAAGCTCTGGAGGTAAGCAGACCACTAGGCCCCTGGCTGTGCACCTCAGGAGGGGAGGTTAGGGGCTGCTACTTAGTGACGATCAAGAGAGATGCTGCCTGCATGGAACGCACGTGACGCTGTGCGGTCCCAAGGCACCATGACCGCTGTCGTAATAACGCCATCATTTTACTCTCCGGCCCCGGGCAGGATTTGGAGGAAAGTGTGGGAAGTCAAAGCAAGCGCTTTCACTCCTGCTCAGTGACCGGGCCAGCAGAGGAGGGTAAGAAGGTCCCAGTCTCAGCGTGAAACCCCACCTGCACCCGACCCAGCACCACACAGCTCAGAACCAGACCCTGAGAAAGGCTTACCTTCACATCTTATTAACAATCAACATTTATCAGGCACTTTGTTTGTGCCAGGCCTCGTGACCAGTGCTCTCCTTACAGCATCTCCATTCACTCCCCCCGATGGCTTTCTGGACAGGGACTTCTAGCCCCATCCCCACTGGGGGATGCCTGTAAGACTGAGCACCTCAATTCATCTTCATAAAATCCCTACAAGGTCAACTGTATTCCTAACTCTCACTTTACACATGAGGGAAGTGCAGCCCAGGAGGGCTCAAGTGACCAGAGAGGGCCAGGAGTGGGATTCCAGCTCGGAATGCTCCAGCATGCTACCTCCCCAAGGGATGAATCACAAAATCAAGCGGTGTGTGCGCTGGGAGGTGATGTGAGGGGCGCATACATTCAGTTGGTTAAAGGATCCCAGCTCAGTCCAAAGGGCAGCCAGGGACACACCCACTGCATCTGCGTCAGAGTGGATGCCGAGATAGAGATGTGGGCTGCGTGGGTGCAAATGAATCGAGGTCAGTAGAGAAGTGCATGGGCTCAGAGGCCGGGGGACCTCCATGTCTAGCTCCATGCCTAGGCCCTCCAGGGCATCGCTGTCTCATCACGGCAGTCATACCCTGAACACGGCGTTGGAGACTCGGACATCCGGACAGGGGGAGACTTGACCGGGCTCTCCTGAGACGTGTCGAACATAAGGTACAAGGCCTGCTTCTTCGGGGCATCGTTGTCCTGCTGCAGGGATCAAAGTCACATGTCAGCTCAGCCACAGTGGCCTGAGCACGCTACCAAGACGAAAACCAGAGCACACTTCAATGGGGACAGGTAACTGGTCAGGAAGGAGCCTTCCTTGCTCTCCAACCACCCGGAAGCGAGGAGACAGTGGTACCGGCTAGGAGAGAGGGGCGGAGGATGGCAGGAAGGGGAAGGTGGAAAGAGAAAGTGCGATTCCACCCAAGGGGGAACGTTTCCGGGGAGAATTGACTGCGTTGGGGCTGGTGTGCAACACGCTCACTGCTGCTCAGCCACTGCCTTTAGTGGCCATCCTCTCTGGGCACACAAGCATGCTGGTCACCCAGGATAAACAGAGGGGTCGGAGAGAGCCTGCCCGGGTGCTGCCCACAGTTGAATGGGGGCATGATGGACTAGAATGATCAGCGTCACCATCGAGGTTCACTGATTTACAGCAACTGTGGTTTAGAAGCAGCAACCCCACATCTATGAACGATGCAGAGAAAGAAATATAAGAGCAACAAGTCTGGGATCCCGAGTCGCACAGGCGCCACCCCCCCACCCCCGGGCATCACCACGCCTCTGTGGGTGCTGCCAGACAACAGCACAGCACAAAAGGTCGTGTTCAAGACCAAATGCCCCGGCGGCAACACATATTAAGCCAGGGGAGACAGCCACCCATCATAATGACTTAAAATGAAAAAGGAAAGGGGGATAGACTTACTGCTCAAAGGGATAATCTTCAATTACAGAAAGCAATTAGTCTGAAGAAACCAGATCACGGTACGCCTTAAAAACAACCACGCCTTCTACCTTTTCAAAAGGACTAGCTCTTTCTCAGTCAAAGGAAGTAATTCTGCAGGAAGTCTAAGAGCGTCCTATCATTTTCTCTCTGAAAATGGCATCTGAAGTGGGCTGGGACAAACCTCAACCCCATCCCCCACTCCAGCCCCCGTTCATTAAAGTGACTCCAAAACAGGGTGGAAAGCAAGTCCCCTGCTGGCTGGAGGCAGAAGAACTTACAGGTAAGGAGGAACCGATTTTCTCCATATATTCGATTTCATAGGAGTTTCTGTAATCCAACTCTGCAAAAGAAACAAAAGGAGAGGTGAGCACCGGAGTGGGGGGTGGGCTGCGAACAAAAGATTTATCTGGCTGGGCAAGGTGGGGCCTGGAACAAGGTTTTAAGCGTTCTGAGAATGCCCACTGGCTGAGATTTCCAATACAGTCAAAAGGGGAGGCTCGCCTTAGCTATTTTCAGACAAGTGGTAAACCTCTTGCCATAAAGGAGCTTCGGCCACTTGGGAGTCTGAGAGAGTCCCACGGGAATTACATGTCAAGACCAAGCGCGGATTTGACTGGGAAAAGATCTGAGCATCCTGCACTAAGCTTTCAGATCAGAGCGTGCGTGCCCCCTGGGTGATGCTTTCTTTCTCTGAAAGTCTCATGTGTGGTTCAGGGAATCTTCCTAAGTTCTGGTGACATTTTGGAACTGGACCCGAGCTGCCCGTCTGGTTGATGGAAGCAAGGGGGAGGAACAGAGCTGCCGTAAGAGAAGCTCTGCAAGTCGCTTAGAACATTCCCAATTCTGCCAGTACCAAGAGGCTGGTCTGAATCAAATGCTCAGACATGACTATTAAAGTCCAATTTGGTGGAGTAATGGTGTATTTCAAGTTGACAGGAGACTTTAGGCTACAAGGAAAACTTCGGATACTCTCACCGGAGACTAGAAATCCCATTGCTTGCCTCAGCTCCCAGGCAGTTACAGGTGGAGACCCAGCTCTGCCACTCCAGCCAAGTCCCTGTCTGGTGAATGGACTCTGAGCACCTACTAAGTGCCTCAGACTGTGCAGGGCACGGTGGATACAGTAGTGAAAAAGACAGAAGAGGACCCTATCATCGCAAAAACCCCAATCCACAGCTACCTGATAGCTCTTTTACACTTAAGAAGAAAAGTAAGAAGTGACATGACCCACTCAGAAAGCAGGAGTGTCAATGGCAATCCCTAAAGCCCAATGCCTTAATTTTTTTAAATAAAAAATAAACAGAAATAACAGCAGTTCTTCTGGTTTAAAGTCCATCATTCCTACATATTCATAAGCATATTCAACAGAAGGGATCTTTTTAAAATGATCCTTTAAATATGAGCTTTAAAATGATATATATTCAGGACTTCCTGGTGGTCCGTCGGTTAAGACTGTAGGAGGTACGGGTTCAACCCCTGGCCAGGGAACTAAGAGCCTGCATGCTGCGAGGCAAGGCCAAAAAAATAATGAGGGATTTCCTCAAAGACTTTCTCAAAACCTGCAAGTGTGTATGGTTTTGGCTGAATAAACTCCAGTACTTAACCCCGTGGATGACTTTTCAGGAATCTCTGGGATGAAGCAAATGCATCTTTCTGGCAGGCATGACCTGCTCATGGGAATGGAGACGGTTTTGTGGATTAATGGCCAGAAGGACCTCACACATCCTGAAGGCGCTGACTTGTGCGTCCCTGGGGAGGAACACGGACTAAGCTGAACCGCATGCTGGGCAGGGGCTCAGTGTCTGTAACCGTGCTGTGAACCTGTCCCCGGGGTCTGCCTCGACCAAAGACACAGAAGCGTTCATTTATTAAGACTTAGTATCTGCCAAAGGCAGAGGACAGTGAAGGACAGAGGGCCTTCTAGGGCCTCTTCTGGAGGATGCCAGTGCTCATGTTTATTGTTCTGCTAAAGACTAAGTGGAGAAGATACTACGAATCAGCTCTTTCATCCTCCAAGGTATCACTGCTATTGCCAAGGCATGATTTTATCCTAACTGATTTAACAGAAAGCCTCCCTCTCCGCCACACAAACATGCCTACAATGGCACAGAGCACCCGGGATGCACCAAGTAAGCTGGGGGCCACCGTGGAGATCCTCTGGGCCCTGGGACCCTGGGTCAGCACTAGCTCTGGTTACCAGCTCGCCTCAGTGTCCCACCTGGAATCTGCACTCGTTTTCCTGGAGGCAGATCTGGGTGAGTTTCAGGTCACTGAGCTCATTTATCTGCTTCTTTCCTACCTGCCAAGAGCATCTCAGATATATTCTTGTTTTTTGGCCACACCACGTGGCATGTGGGGATCTAACTTTTCTGACCAACAATCAAACTCACACTGCCCCCCTGCAGTGGAAGTGTGGAGTTTTAACCACTGGACCACCAGGGAAGTCCTAGGTTCTCAGATATTTTGAGAAAACATCTTACTCAACTCGCTTTTCAAAATCTCACTCATCTGCCTTAAATTCTAAGCCTCAGAGGGTAGGTTCAGAGAGGGAAGCCACATGCAATTTTAGCGCCATTTTTACATCATGCTACACACAGCTGGCAGACCAGCAAAGGTAACAGCAATCATACCAAGCGGCTCAACGTCTTTACATCTAAGAGGCAGCTCTCTGAAGCACATGCTGCTTTGAGCTGAAGAGGCCTGACGTTATTGCTGATGGGTCCTGTCATTCTGAAGGCAATGTGCCATGAGAGGGCTGGACTGCTGTTCCCATTTGACTCTCCTTGTTGGGGCTTGGTGAGAGGGCCAGAGGAGCCTAAGCAGAAGCCAGAAGGATGCAGCTGAGTCCAGACTGTCATTCCCAGGATCAAGGAAGCCACCTCACCGACTTCTCCAGGCCTACTGACTCATTCATAAAATGGAGTTCAAAGTGCACACATCTTACAGGATAAAATGAATTGATGTAAAGCCCCACAGCTGGTCTGGCAAAAGGCAATGGATTGCAACCAGGTCTATTATTGCTCACTGCTAATATTTCTGAAACTTTTAACATACGTGATGAGCAAAGAAGAGGCTTTCAGAAAGGGACAAGGACACTACTCCAATTTTCCTGGGTGGCCCTTCTCTATGTCTGTATCTCAATGGCAACGGTGCCCACCACTGAAGCTGAAGCTCCAATATTTTGACCACCTGATGTAAAGAACTGATTCATTGGAAAAGACCCTGATGCTGGGAAAGATTGAAGACGGGAGAAGAAGGTGATGACAGAGGATGAGATGGTTGGATGGCATCATGGACTCGATGGACATGAGTTTGAGCAAGCTCCAGGAGTTGGTGATAAGATTGGAGAGCCTGGAGTGCTACAGCCCATGGGGTCAAAAAGAGTTGGACAGGACTGAGCGACTGAACTGAACTGAAGAATAGGTTAGGCTTCCTCCCGAGGACACCTTCCCCTCTAATGGATGTAGAAGGGAGAGGCTGATGCCCTAGCAATAGGCCATCCAGATCTGTGAATCTAAAGCCACTACTCCCTCAGGGTCTTAGACCAGAGACAAGGGAGATCTCGGAGGCTCTGTGGCCCAGTGGTTCCTGAACTTTTCATCCCTGGGAACCACACGGACTAAGTTTCTTCTCAAGGCATCATGTTTCAAAAGACTGCCCTAGAAAATGGCATTTGCTAAGCCAAGGGTTCAAAGAAAAATGTTTGATCATCAAGTTCCGGTTTTAAGCAATTGGAGACTATCGGTGTCACCAGAGAGAGTTGATGTGCTTATAGACCCCAAACATGCAATTTTAACTAGCTGGGCATCCATCTAAACTAGGTCTATTCAGGTTTTTTGGAATATTAAGACAATCTGAATCTCCTGTGGACCCAGGAAGTTCAACACCCTCATTCTACACTTGACGAAAGGAAGCCTGAAAGACGGTCACAGAAAGACTGTGGTGGAGAAGAAGAGGCCCTTCGAATCGGGCAAACCTGGTCCTTCATGGATTAGCCCCTCAACACTGAGCAAATCTTTAACAGCTCTGATCCTCCGCTCTCAGGTTCTTTCTGGGGAACAGATCTGCTCACCCCCGCCACCAGGTACACCTCTGGTGTGGCCAGATATGACCTCATGAACAGGAAGGACGATTCGAGAACAGGCCTCCACCAGTTTCTAGGTCCGGTTGCTGGAGGGAACGGGTACACCCGAGAGATGGACACAGACCACACCTCCCGAAACTGCAGCTCTTCTGGATTCACACGTCCAGTGGATTTCCCATTGCCCACCAGCTACAACTACGGGCAGGGCTTCCCCAATCTTCACAGTCATTTTCTAAGAAGGCAGATTTACTAGAGTTTTGTTCCAAACTTACACATTTACCTATCTGTAAAATTTTTTGCAGAAAACAATTCTCAAATATGTCAGTGAGCTAGTGAGTGGTCTTCGTTCCAAACTGAAAATGAAGCAATGGATGTCACCACTGAATGAGGCACCTATTAGCTTAAAAGGTATTATTAGGGTCTTTCTATTTTCTTGCGTGCTTAGTCACTAAGTCATGTCTGAGTCTTTGCAACCCTCTGGACTGTAGCCTGCTAGGCTCCTCTGTCCATAAGTTGTCATTTCCTTTTCATACGGATCAGAGAGATCAGTCCTGACCCAGAGATTTTCTATTAAAATAATACACATATTTATTTGTTTCCTGGTAATACAACCACATACACAACACCACAAAACACATATACCTTTTGATTCCTGTCTACAGTGGCAAGCTCAGGTTGGCTTCTATACGTTTCTATGACATTTAACAGATCCTCATCAAACCTCAAGAGATGTGAACCAGCAGGAGCTATCAAAGTGGCCAGGTCCCCGCTGGTCCTCACCTGCCCCTGCTGCTTCTGGGATGTCCACACACTCCGCCCATCTCCCTCACACAGGAGGTGAGTGATGCAAAAATCAGACTATGTGGACACTACAATGTATACCTGCCTAGCCTCTATCTTTCCCCACAAAGCTGTCTTTAGCTCCTACTGTGTTCATGGTGCTGTGGGAAAAGCTGACTCAGATAGGGTTCTTGCTGTCAAGAAACACACAATCTAGCGGAGAAGTAAGGGATGCACTCGAATCATTGTTACCGCATCAAGCAACCTCAAAGTAGGTTCAGACCAGGCACGGAGGACAGGCAGCGAGGGTGCCACGTCCAGGGAAAGGCTGGGAGCGGGCAGGACAAGCCCGAGAGACAGGGAGGTGGGGGGCATTCTGCAGCAGCCACCACAGAGGGGCTGGATGGGGGTCCCATCCAGTGGGGTTCCCAGCCCAGGGGTCTGTGAGCAGAGGAAGAGGAGGGCTGAAGCAGAGCTGAGGCCAGATCCCAGGCCCCCAGGGTCACGGTGGAGTAAGATGGTCACTGTTAAGCCTCCCAAGCCCCCAGCCACAGGGCTAACCCCACAGCTAACCAAAGCCTCCATTGTTCAGAAAATACAATGCCCTGAAGTCCAAGTCTTTCATCACCAAAATACAGAAAGGCGTGTCATAAGATAAGCATCACAGTCTCCCCCAGACCTGAAATGGCTCTCACTGTACCACTCAGAAACCTCAGGGCACAGAGCAGGCCACCCAGGCCCCAGGTCAAGAAGAGCCTCCAGAGGAAGCTTTCCAGGTTCCCAGGGCGGCAGTGGAGACAAAAGCATGGAGTGCAGACTGTGGACACAGCGCGGGACGGAGAGGGTGGGATGAACTGAGAGAGCAGCGTGGAAACGTGTAAATGACCACAGATAAAACGGCCAGTGGGAATCTGCTGTATGACGCAGGGAGCTCAGATCAGACACTCTGTGAAAACCTAGAGGGGTGGCTCCGATGGTAAAGAATCTGCCTGCCATGTGGGAGACCTGGGTTCGATCCCTGGGTCGGGAAGATCCCCTGGAGGAAGGCATGGCAGCCCACTCCAGTATTCCTGCCCGGAGAATCCCAGGGACAGAGAAGCCTGATGGGCTACAGTCCATGGGGTTGAAAAGAGTCGGACACGACTGACTGACTATACTTTCACTTCTCACTTTCAGGGCGGAGGTGGGAGGGAGGGGACACACCTACACCTATGGCAGATTCATGTTGACGTATGGCAGACACCAATACAATATTGTAAAGCGACTTTCCTCCAGTGAAAAATAGAGAAACTTGAAAAATGTTCTTGGTTACACCCCTGCTCCACCCAGGTGGGGGGCAGGAAGTGGCCTGATAGAGATCACGGCTCCTTATTAGCAGCAAAGAAGTGGAGATAGGGTTTCCCTGTATGATTGTCCTCATACTGAATGCTACTCAGTTTTTAAGACTTGCTAGAAATTAAGATCTCAGAAAGGGAAACTTAGATCCATCAACGACAGCCCAGGGTATTGGAATGACGGCTCAAGACTAGGCTCACAAGCCCCACATGAGGTGGGTGGAGGACAGGCCCCGTGAGGATTAGGAATGCAGGGTACCATCATATCCCTCCCTGGAAGGTTCTAGTTGCCGACTTAAGATATACAGATTTTTCAAGCCAAAGAACCAGGCAGACAGCTGCAAGTCGATACATGTTAAAGGGGAAGAAGATATGAATGAGGTAAGTGACACGCCTAGGGCCTGTGAGAAGGACTCAGGGTTCTAGTTGGCAAGTCAAGGGGGAGCCTCTGGTTTAGGGCTTGAGCAGAAGGTGCTGGTCACATGGTGGAAGGTCCCTAGGGGCCAATGAACTATGGGGACCCTGAGAGGCCCCTGGGCCAGTTTACCCAGCTGAGCATTCGACACAAAATCCTCAAGAAGCAGAAGCCAGACAGCTGAGAAGGTACAAAGCTCGGGGGAGCCCAGGGCCAGGTGTTAGAGGTCGCTCTGCTAGCTCTTAGCAGGTGCCTACGGCTCACAGCACAGCTGGGTTCAAGCCTCGGGCTGTGTTAACAGGCAGCCTAGCTCAGGGAGCCCCGGGAGGCGGCGATCCACAGAACAGTTACCTGGCTTAGCGGTTTCTTTCCTGGCCTTTTGCTCCCTAGGGGCAGTGGTCTCCAAGGCAGGGTGGGAGTCCAGCGGGCCACCAAGTTGCTTACCCTCCGTGGGTGAATTGAATTTGGTCTCGTTCACGAAGGTGGACAGGTCCGAGGGCTGGGGGTAGTCCTGTTTGTCAGCCTCCAGATCCACCGTCATGCACGTCCACTTCTGACTGGTGACCGCCAGCTTCTCCTCGTCGGTTGCGTGGACCACTGCCGAGATCACGGGCGGCGTTTCCGGTGTGGCCGCGGGGGTGGGGTCCTACCAGGAGAAGGGAAGCCGTCTCTCCTCTCGTCCCGTCTCTGTGCCCACCCACGGGGTCTGGGCCCCTCTACCCAGGATGGGACCCTGTCACATTCCTCTGCTCAAAACAGTTCCTAGGAAACAAATTCTTTATGAATTTCCTTTTCTGATGGCTTGTTTCAGGGGGTAATGAACATGGGTTTAAAAAGGAATCAGGATTTTGTGTTTTGATTATTTGAGACATTCCTGCTCATTCACTTTGAAAAAAATAAAGAAAATTTTTACAACTGGCACTTTTATTAGGACAACTATAGTGTTATGCCCACAAAGGGCTGGACATCAATACCACAGACATCGCCCAACAATCGTCATGCCTGATGCCAGAGGTAGAGAAAGTGAGTTTCAGCCTCATCTCCACAAAGGTGTGCAGCTAAGCTGGGCAGGGTGGGAGCCCAAAAATGTTACAGCAGACGTGGCACTGGACCCAAGACCCCTCTGGTGGGGCTTGGCGCCTCTCTGCAGCCCTGCCCTGGCCAGGGCTGGCCTGGCTGGGTTCTCACTGGCTTAGATGAGGGCGACAGAGGAGATCTGCTTGTTTTATGACCTTGAATGGCCTGACACATATTCCTGGTTTGTAAAGAAGGTGAGAGGAACTGGTAAGAGGGAGACAGGGAGCTGTGTGAAGAAAGAGCCCAGCCCCCACTTTTTTAGGGGATGGAGTCCCTTTTCCGCCCCAGTCCTGATGCTGGTTACACAATCCAGTGCTCCTCACGCACGTTCAGTTCTTTCTCACTGTACATGCGTTTATCTCCATAGACTTCCTCAACTTGATACTTAAGGATGTTCTCAGCAGATTAACTGGCCAGAACGGACCAGCACGATTCCCAGAGAACTAATATTTTTCCTGGGCATCTGCCAATTCTGCGGACATTCTCTGACATTTCCCCAAGGGAAGTGATCAAATCCAAGTCTTGCAAACACTGAGGGACCCTCCATGGAGGAGACAAGGAGAGGGTATTGGAAACATGGCCATGATGAGCAACTGACTAGTAGGGGATAAACACCCATCAGTCTTGACTCCCCCCCAACCCCTGGGCCAGTGATAAAATGATAAATGTCAAGGGAACAGTATACCTGAGAAGGTGGATCAGAGAGAGGAGACCGTTTTGGCGACTTTTTCACCCTAAACGTGTCACTGGAAACAAAATGACAAATGTAAACGCAATGGACAGAGGCACAGAACATTCCAGAGCCGACCGAGGCCCACAGCGTGACTGCTGAGTATCCGGCCCAGACCACCATCCCGTCCACACCACCCCCACACCGACTGAAAGACGTCCACACTGACAATCCATTCTGGTTTTTTAACAGATACTGTTGCCCTGGAGGGAAAGATTCATCAAGCCTGAAGTCTTTTGAAGACATGCCATTGTGGAGAGCTGACCCAGAAAGTGAAGCTGACTTTGCCCAGATGTTCTTACTTTAAAAAAGCAGAATCTAGTGAGCGGAATCTGCATTCATCCAGGAGGGTCTGAACCAGCTAAGGCGGGGGAGGGGATGTGAGTTCATGACACCCATGAACAGGAGCTCCAGAACACCCAGCCGACACAGCACTCAAACAGCTGAAGGAGCTGTGCGGAAATAGGAAGGGAAGGTCTGGGTCTTCGGCGGGAACTGGAAGATTCTCTCCTACATGCAGGAACTCTGAGCTTAATGGGTTCCTGCATCTCTGACCTTCTGGGTGGGATTCTGACTAAAGGCAGGCCAGGGGTGACATCATTTTTTTTTTCCATTTATGGTAGAATACACATAAAATTTACCATCTCAAACACTCTTAAGTGTACAGTTCAGTGAAGTATATACACACTGCTGTGCAACCAAACTCCAGAACTCTTTTTTCAGAGACGAGATCATTAAAAAAAAAAAAAGCCTTTCCTAATCACCATTAACGACTCTGGTCGCTTTTTTCTCCTTCATATAAATAACTGGGGGTGAGGGTGAGGGAGAGGAGGACCTAGGCAAAAGAGACATCTGCTTAGATTCCTGAAAGAGTCAGAAGGAAGGGATTTTTTAGCATAGATGGTTCCAATATGTCTCCTGGGTGATCAGGGGGATCATTTCCACAATCAGAATGGAGACTTCTCCACCTGTAGACTGGCCTCTGCCCCCTGGTCTCAGGCCCCTCAGTGGTCTGGTCTGGCCCCCAGCAAGTCAAGGGCTTGGGGGGGGGGCCGGTCCCCTCATCTTAACACTCCCCCTCCCCCTCTCCTGCTCTAGACGGTAACTACATGGACAGAGCAATTGGACACCAAGTTCCTCCTTGTGTTTGCTCAGATAAAACACTCCAACAATGGCATTCAGTTATGAAAGAAATACTATAAATAGTTATTTAGAGCATTTGTGGCATTTGTCATGTGAACAGTGCAATTACAGCTTGAAGCATATATTTATTCATGCATATAAATATGCAACTGTGTGTTTCACAGTTGCTAAGTGGCTCTGAAATACTGGAGAAATCCCTGGGGCAGAAGAGACCCTGAGAGATTCCACTCTATCCCAAGGCTGCTGGGAGCCTGGGACCAGGCCAGCTTCTCTTGGAAAGATGTTGAGGCAAAGAAGATGCCTGTCCATGGGCCCTTGGGAGCAGCCTGCAGGATCTCTCACGGCCCGGAATGCATACAGGCACAGAGGTGGTCCGACCTGTCGCTCTGTTTCCCTCAACAAGGCAACCCCCAGATGGCATGGCCCGGCGATGGCTCTCACAGCCGTGTGCTCCACCCTGAGCTGTCCCTGCATTTCAGGGGGCTCCCATCAGTCTCAATTTGAAACAGCCCAAATGTTTCCGCTTCACATGTAGCCAGAACAAGAAACAGCAGTTCCTGCCTGTGGTCAGACTGGATGGTTATTTTAAGGTGAAGCCACAATACTTTGAAAGCAATCGCCTACTTGTCCCATTTAAAATGGAAGCATGGAATGAGAGTTTAAAAAAAAATGTATGGGTTTCAGATGAAGACATTCAATATGCAAGGGGGAAAAAAAAAAAGGTTCCATTCCTGACAAGCAGGCAGATGTTGGATAATCACGTTTTCACAGCCAAGCAGTTCCACTTATGCTAATCACTATGAAACAGACAAACAACTCTGCTACTGGGAAGCCCCATGCCCCGTCATTCCCAGGCCCGCCACAGAAATATGTAAGCAGCAGCCACGGAAAGGAAATAAAAAAGAGCTTGGAAGCAAAAGCAAAGGCAGGAAAAAGCACATTTGGCATAAGAGGCAGATTCCGTTAAATTTACTTACAACAGAGAACATACAGACATCACATCTTCAACCATCCTAAGACAAGAAGACAAAGAAAAAGAGAGACAGACAGAAGGAACTGACAAAAAAGATAAATCTGCAGATGACTGGTTATTAAGGGGTTAGGATTCAACAGCCATCCAGTGTGCGGCTTGGGCGTGGGGGCTACATCCCAGCTTTCTGGAGGAGCTGCCGGAGAACACCTTCCTCCCTTGGTTCCATTATCCCATAAAGTGTTGGCGGCTCCAAGAGCCTTGCCACCCCAGTGGAGGACTCCTAGCCGTCTGCACCAGAGGTGAGACCTGGGGACAGGCAGGCTTCCCTGACCACAGTCAGCTCTGGTGACAGAACAGAATAGAACAGAACCAAGCTGTCTCGTGGGGAAGGAGAAGGTGGTGGCTTCAAGTTCACTCATCCCCCAAAAGGAGAGAAATGGCTTTGTGGTGTGGGCATTTCCATTTTCTCCTGTTTGTGCCTTAAAATAAAGCTTCCAACACAGATTCTAGGGAATCTTTAAGAAAGGCCTGGTTTAGCCACTGATCTGAAAAAAAAAACAAACCAAGTCCACATTTTTGGCCAGGACCATCTCCCATCCACCACCACCCAAAGTCAAAGCCTGCTTAGAGACCATCTTCTCAGAAAGCCTCGGGTTCTTCTCAAATGTCATATGCTTGGGGGCGGGGAAAGGGGGTGCAGAAGGAGAGGTAAACAGGTTATCCTATCTTGATCTGTACCAGGCAGACTCAGAGGGGCCAGCAGTCATGGTCTGTTCTGCTGAGGTGCCACCAGAAGCTGGGTCTTCTGGTCAAATTATTGATGATACTTCAGTCGAGAGCAAGGAGAAGGGCTCCAAGCATCAAACCACACTACACTTGGACCAAAGCCCCAAGGATGGACCTGCAGCCATCTAGTTTGGAACCTGGCCTGAACTCCAGAAACACGGACATGTGTATCAAGAGCAATCCACTTGGCCAGAGTCTGGACAGCAGACCTGATCACTCACGGCCTCCTGGAGACTATGGGGATCGCTTCTCCCTTTCAGGTTCCATTGATCTTTTTTGGATCCACAGGGCCTGTGGACTCTCATCTATGAAGATGACTAGATAAAGGGGTGCTTCCTACAGGGTAGATGGGGCACAGGAAGGGGCCCAGACCAGGCCTCTCGCTCATGGGCTTCTTTAGTCTATTGTGTTTGCCTCTTGGGCTTGTTGCTGTTGTTCATTCACTAAGTCGTGTCCAGCTCTTTGAGACCCCATGAACTGCGGCACACCAGGCTTCCCCATCCCTCACCATCTCCCTGAGTTTGCTCAAACTTATGTCCATTGAGTCAGTGATGCCATCCAACCATCTCATCCTCTGTCATCCCCTCTCCTCCTACCCAGCATCAGGGTCTTTCCAATGGGCCAATGCCTCATTAAAGGGCAGAAACAAATACAGAAACAAATTTTAACAATATTTTAAAGGGTGGATCCCTTAGTTTCCAGGCCACTCCAAAAAGCAATTCATGTGTTAAACAGAAAATGCTAAATCACCAACAGGGAGGCTGACCAGGCCACCACTGGGCTGCTCCCTTTCCATGGATTCCCCCACTCTCTCCTGAAGTTCAAGGTCAGGTCTTCACCTACAAGTAAAGCTTTAGACCACTAACTGATTGAGGCAAGAGGTCAAGGACTCTAGACCCAAAGGGATGGGAGGATGGGACACGCCACCACTATGGGTGCAGAGCGGAATGACAACAGGTACCCTGATGCAAACATGGTGGCACTGTGGCAAATGGGGGGGGGGGTGCCAGGGCAGCCCAGGTTTCCAGGCGAGTGAGCAACAATCACAGCCAGTGCCCAGCCCCGCCTCTGCCCGTACCACCTGCACCCCTGAACTTACGTCTTGAGGGGCGTCTTCTTCTTCTTGGCGGGCTTGTTCAGCCCATCCCCGTCCACTCCATTGGCTTCGATGGCACTGGCTGGGATCTCAAAGGAGGCTGGGGATTTAGAAGGTGAGCTGGGGGCCTTAGAGCACGTCTTAAAGGGATCAGTGGACTCATCACAGGCGTCCGGGTCAAAGTTGTAGGATTGTTGGGGCAGTTTGGGAGACTCCTGCATTTTTGAGGTGGAAGAAAAAGGGTTAAAATTGGGGTCATCCCACTTGTCAATATCAAAGGTGTAGGTACCTTTCGCAATAGGGATGTCATTGGGTTCAGCGGGGGACCTGGTAGGCGAGGCAGGGGTGTTGTCGAGTTTTTCGGGTGTTTTTTTCATCTTTGGCCTCCTTAGGGGCATTTTGGCAACCGGCTTTTTGCCTATCTTTTTGGTGGGAGGCGGGGTTTCCTGCTGGGTGTCCCAACTACCCTTGTCCTCAGAATAGTCAAACTCCAGCCTCACTGAGAGGCCTTTGGCTGGGGAGTCCTCTTGCCCCCCACTATCTGATGGGGTCACCTCCACTGCCTCCGGGGCCGTGGCCAGAGGCAGGGTTCTCCTTCCAATGGGAGGTGAGTTCTGCACTCTGCCACCCCCAGAAGTTGGGGGGACAGCCCCTTCTGCACCCTCGGAGTCCAGAGGGCAGGCCGCCTTGGGGGCAGCAGCAGGTTCTAGGGGTGCCTCCTCCGATAAGGCTGATCTAGAACCTTCCGCCCTGGCCGGCTCTGTTTTCGTGTCGGCTATTTGATTCTCTTCGCTGGGGTCGGGGCTCTCTCCGGCGGGCTCGTGTTGTGTCTCTTTCACTGGGGGGGTTTCGGGGGGCTTCTTAGTGGTCTGTTTCTTTTTTAAGGAAGGCGGCCTCGGTTTCTTAGTTCGCTTAAGGGTACTGGCAGCACTGCTCGAACCCGCGCTGTATGCATCCACGACCGGGGCCGTGGCCTCGGGGTTGCCTGAGCAAGAAGCACCATCAAAGTCACTGGCTTGCAGGCTGAGCGAGCGGGACAACGTCGACTTAGAGGTGGGGACGGAGTCCGTGGACTTCCTCCGTGAGTTCACCTTGCAGTCCTGATTCTTAGGGTCTGAGGGGCGAGGCTCCAAGCTCTGAAGGTTATCCACCAGCTCGATGTTGTCAAAGTCCAAGTTGTAAGTCCCGCTGCTGGCTATCGGCTTGTCTTCATCGAAGACGGCGGAGAAGGAGTGTGACGGGGGATGGAAAGGACTGCCTTCCACGGAGCTGCCGCGGGGGCCATCCGGGACGGAGACGGGCTCAGAGCCGCATCCTGAGGGAGCGGAGACAAAGCCGTCACTGAAGGATACGGGACACTCATCTCGTGCCAGACCACCACCCTCCAACACCAGAGCCCCAGGCCAGCCCGCCCACCCCTCAACACGCACGCTGCTTGGGTACAAATCCTGCTCTCACCAGGCAGCTCCAGGCCCTGGACAAAGAGACCCCCAGCTTTCTCATCTGTAAAATGGGAGCAATAAGAGCTGTTTAAAGGATACCTTTAAACGCTGTCATCTAAAACACATTACCCGGACTTCCCCAGTGGTCCAGTGGCCAACACTCTGCACTCCCAGTGCAGGCAGCCCAGGGTTTGACCCCTGGCTGGGGAGCTAGATCCCACATGCTGCAACTAAGGAGCCCTCCTGCCACAACTTAAAAAAAGAAGAAGAGAAAAAAAAACCCTGTATGCCAAAACTAAACATTCAATGGACATCGATGCTCCTGTGTGCCACAACGCCCGACACAGCCAAAAAATAAATATTTAAAAAATTTAAAACACATTTACCAAGTGCCAGATCAAAGCAAGGCACCATTCTGGGCATTGGGGCCTCCATAATGAACAAAATCCTTGCTCTCCTGCAAGTTAGGTTCTTTAGAGAGAAGACAGTTCAAGAAGCAATAAACAAGTAACATGTATGGGCTGTCAGATGGTGGTAAGTGCTAAGGAAAAAAAGAAAGTCAGGGTAGGAGTGTTGCAATTTTAAAATAAGGTAGTTGGGCAAAGCCCTTCAAGGAGAAAACATTTAATTCAAGATGAGAAACAAGGTAAAGGTGTGACCCATGGGCATATCTGGGGTTAAGCATCTAAGGCAAAGGAAACAGCAAGTGCAAAGGCCCTGGGGTTGGTCCACACATGGGGTATTGCAGAAATACCAAAGGCCAGTGCAGCTAAAGTAAAGGAGAGGAGAGGAAAGGAAGACAGAAATAATGCAGGTAAGACATAGTGAGCCTTCAGTAAATATTAGCTACCATCATCATCCAGCTTGCTCTAGAGTATGCAGAGCCTTTAAGTGCAGGCCCCAGGCAACTGCAGAAGAACTAAGCTTATGCATCTGCCACCTGTCCCGACTCTAGGCACCCCCCGAAATCTCGCCCTCCAACCCTACCTGCCACGCCTCTCTTCTCAACCTCCCTCTCATCCATTCTCTCTCCATTTTTTGCAGCTTCCTCCCAGCTTCTCGGCCCCCTCAGCCGCTGCCAGCCAAGGATGCTGCTTCTTATTTTAAAACATGCTGTGGATGCTCTGGGCTTCCCAGGTGGCGCTAGGGGTAAAGAATCCACCTGCCAAGGCAGGAGACAGAAGAGATGCAGCTTCCATCCCTGGGTTGGGAACATCCCCTGGAGGAGGGCACAGCAACCCACTCCAGTATTCTTGCCTGGAGAATCCCAGGGACAAAGGCGCCTGACGGGCTACAGTCCATGGGCTCACAGAGAACTGGACACGACTGAACACACAGGCATGTGGACGCCCCAGATGCTGGTCAAGAGATACTCCAGCACCTCACGGCCCCGCTGCTCCACGGGGATGCAACCAGCGTGGCCTTGTCTCAGCTGCCCTGGGTTCTGCTTGCACCCTGTGGTCGCCCCACATGCACATCTGGCTTCACGGAGACCCTGGGCAATCTAGATGCCAGAAAACTAAAGATGTGTAAATAGACAAAGGGGAGGAAATGTTGCAAAGTGGTCTGCAGAAGAAGGAATTAAAGAGCTGGCACAGGGACTTCTCTGGTTCAGTGCTTTGGACACCACACTTCCACTGCGAGGGGTGGGGCATGGGTTTGATCCCTGGTCAGGGAACTATTAATAAGATCCTGCATGCTGCATAGTGAAGCCAAAGAGAAAAAAAAAAAAGAGAGAGCTAGCGTATATATGACTTGGGCCAGCATTCCCAAAGTGTGTTTCACTGACAACAGTTATATCCTGCAGTACCCAACCCATCCTGTGCTGGAACAGTTGCCAGATAAAATATAGGATGTTCAGTTAAATTTGGATTTCAGATAAACGAATATGTTTTTTATATAAACATGTCGCAATCACTCATTATTTATCTAAGATTCTAAATCAATTGGATGCGCTGTACATTTGTTTGCTAAATCTGGCTGCCCTAATGCCTCATTCCAATAAATGAACAAGGTTTGGGAGACGCTTGCTTCCGTGAAAGCTCAGTTGGTAAAGAATCCGCCCGCAATGCAGGAGACCTGGGTTCAATCCCTGGGTTGGGAAGATCCCCTGGAGAAGGGAAAGCCTGCCCACTCTAGTATTCTGGCCTAGAGGGATCACAAAGAGTTGTACATGACTGAGCGACTTTCACTTTCTTTTTCACTTAACACCCGACCTGGCTTCTTACTGTAGATTTTCTCAGGGCCGCTCACGCTCATGGCTGCAACTTCAAGGCGGTGAGCACTTGGCAGAGAACCCCAGGAGATGAAGGGGGCTGCCTGGGAGATGACAACACAAGGAAACGTCTAGCCTCTTGAGTTCAGGAGCTGGTCTGATTTATCTTTGTCTTCCCCGGACCTGTCACACTTTCTCTTGCCGGCTGAATAAATGCCTCTTGCATTGAGATTACCTTCTGGAAGCAGGTCTGTTCACCAATCATGGTTTCAAACCTTCCCTTCTTTTCGGCATCCAAAGCCACCCCAGGCCCTACTTGGAGCAGATGTCCTAGAAGATGGAACCTCTCAACCTTTTCCGCCAAAAGATTCACCATGTCTCAAAAACACTCCTGATTCATGCTCATCTCAAAAGAAGATGTCCCCTCCCTCCTCCTTTCTAAAATCAATTTCCTCCAGAGACTTGCACCCTCCTTCCATCAGCAGTTGTCTCCTCTTCCTGCCCTGGCCACACAGTACAAAGGGCACAGAAGAACCAGGGAACGAAGAGGACCTGGTGTTTCAAGTGGGCCTTGCGGGAGAGAGAAAGAGCCTCAGTGCCTCCCATCATTTCCAAAGCAAGGGCCAAAACTGCCGGCCTGCTTTCTCTCAGGCTACTAGGCACACCCGAGCAGCCTTATGAGGCCCTTCAGATGTCAGGAGTTCTCCCCAAACCACGAAACATGCAACAGATACTCAGCTTAACCATCTGCTCACTCTTTTCCCCAGAAGAAAAGCTCTCTGACTGCCTAACGTGGCTTTCCTCTTTAGATGTGACATACCATAATTAAATCATCATGGGCCAGGAGATCGAATCTTGGTGCAGGGTTTCTAAGCCTCTGCCCTGTGCCCGTGTCATGATAGTAAGTATTTTGTCTCAGTGTGTGTGGGGTGGGGGGAATATTGTTCATTGCAGGATATCTAGAAGAATCTTTGGCTTCTGCTACAAGATGCCTTTACCCTCCCCAACCCTGAACTGGGACAACCAAAAATGTGTCTGAAAGCCTTAGTTGATCAGTTGTGTCCGACTCTTTGCAACCCCATGGACTATAGCCCACCAGGCTCCTCTGTCCATGGGGATTCTCCAGGCAAGAATACTAGACTGAGTAACCTGTCCCTTCTCTAGGGGATCTTTCCGACCCAGGGATCGAATCCGGGTCTCCTGCATTGCAGGTGGATTCTTTTTACTGTCTGCACCACCAGGGAAGCCCAAAAATGTGTCTCAGTTCAGTTCAGTCGCTCAGTCGTGTCCAACTCTGCAACCCCATGGACTGCAGCACACCAGGCCTCCCTGTCCATCACCGACTCCTGGAGCTTACTCAAACTCACGTCCATCTAGTTGGTGATGCCATCCAACCATCTCATCCTCTGTTGTCCTTGTCTAGAAATTGCCAAATGTCCCCTGGGGTGGGGCACAATAACCCCTGGTTGAGAAGGCCCTTCGGCTCTCTTCAGAAGAAGCCCCAGACCAGAGCAATGGGCTTCTGCCACGTTCAGGCCTTGATTTCCCACAGCAAGTATGGGCCAGCTGCATTCCCAGTCGCCCTCACTGGACTTCTAAATGCTCACACACCGTATCAGCACAAAGACAATGTATTCATTCATTCCTATATATTGGGGCTTCCCTAGCGGCTCAGCAGTAAAAAAATCCTCCTGCCAACTCAGGAGATGCAGGTTTGATCCCTGGGTTGGGAAGGTCCCCTGGAGAAGAAAATGGAAACTCACTCCAGTATTCTTGCCTGGGAAATCCTATGGACAGAGGAGTCTGGCAGGCTACAGTCTACGGGGTCGGACTGAGCACACACACATGCATTCCTATACATCAAATAACCTGGGTGCCTCCTATATGTCAGCCACTGGGAGGCATGCTGTGGACACAGAGGTAAGGAAGGTCAGGACCCCAGAGGGATCCACCCCACCAGGGCGGACCTGGACAACGCTTGCCCTGGCTCCAGATTCTGGCTCAGTCTGAGGACAAAGTCAGCATCCTTGTTTCACGACGTTCAAAGGCTCACTAGGTGGCTCCCAGCTGCAGCAGTTCAGCTCAGGCCACCAAAACAAATCCACAGGCTGAATGAAGAGCTCTGGAGGCCGGAAGCCCAAGGTCAGGATGTCCCCAGTCCTCCTTGACTTGCCGACGGGCATCTTCTGTCTGTATCGCACATGACTTTTGCTCAATATGAACTCGCCCCCTGACGTCTCCTTCTCTCCCCCGACTGTCTTCAAAGGTCACATCACTTAGCCTCACTGACTGCTTCTAATTGGAGCACTTCTGCCAGCTGCTCTGCACTTCTCTCCCCTCCCCCCACCCCCTGTGAGCTCACCCTGGACCGGAATCCACGGGCCCAGAGGCACAAAGGTGCTAACACAAGGCACCCTTGCCCTCAGACGCTTAGCTTCATCCAATAGTTCGAAAGGGAAATGGTCCCGTAAAGAGGGAGCACAGCCCTACATCCTCCAAGCATATGAATAACGGGGCTTCCCTGCTGGCTCAGATGGTAAAGTGTCTGCCTGCAATGCGGGAGACCCAGGTTCGATCCCTGGGTCAGGAAGATCCCCTGGAGAAGGAAATGGCAACCCACTCCAGTATTCTTGCTTGGAAAATTCCATGGACAGAGGAGACCAGTAGGCTACAGTCCATGGGACTGCAAAGAGTCAGACACAACTGAGTGACTTAACTTTCACATATGAATAATAATCAATTGTAGTTAATAAGAGCTTCCCTGGTGGCTCAGTGGTAAAGATCTGCCAGCAACGCAGGAGCCCCAAAAGATGTCGGTTCAATCCCTGGGTTGGGAAGATCCCCAGGAGGAGGAAATGGCAACCCACTCCAGTATTCTTACCTGGAGAATCCCATGGACAGAGGAACCAGTGGGCTATGGTTTATAGGGTTTATTCTCACATCTCACTGGGAAGCAGGTGGTGAGATGCCCCACGCATAGATGCTTGGAGCCCTGGGGAATCCTTCCCTCATCCAAGCTGGGATGAAACATGCAAATGACTTAGCACAGGTCTGGTACCTGGCGGATGCTAAATGGAGCTATTGTTTAATTATGGGACATATCATTACATCCTTCCATGGCCAGTCCTGAGTTCTAATAATGCAGCCACCCTACAAACCAAGCGTCCTGATCGCAGAAGCATGAGAAGTCAGAGTGGAAAGGATCTTAGAGGACTCACGGGTCACTCTTTTCATTTTACAGATGAGAAAACTGGACTCAGGTAAGCCACATCCCGGCACAGCCCAGAAGAGCGGCAGAGGCAAGGTGGCCACCAGGGTCTCTGCCATCCTCCGGTTCCATGGCACACAATCATGCAAAGCCCAAAATAAAGTGATGGATTACTTTGCAAAATGTAAGTTTCCAGGAGGAAAAATCATGTCCTTGTTCACAGCCAAAGGTCTCATCTATTATTTCCTGAGGTTCTCTTGGTACCTTTAGCAACACCCCAGGCACTTCGCAGAGGCAAACCAAACAACAGATGTTCCCCTCTGGCCCTCTCTCCTGTGGTTCCCAGAAGGATGCTTTCTTCTCCTCCACAGGCATGCACGGCCACCTCCCCACTCTGGATAATGTCCCATGATGTCCACAGAAGGGACAAGCAGATCTTTCAAATGAATGCGGCAAATCAAACACACTTCTGTGCAGCTCAAGCCAGGGGACTTTAGGCAGACACAATCCTGACCTTCAGCGTCCTCACTGTATAATCCACATTTAGCCTCACTGTAGTTTTCCAAGGAGGAGAAGCATAAAGTCAGACTCCAACCGGTGCAATCAAAAGTTCTGTGAGGCTGTGACTCATGGCCATGCATGGCTCCAACCCCTTCTGGCAGGGGGTCTCTCTTAATCCTTCATAATATTCAATCTTTCAAAAACTGCCATCTAAGCCAGGGGCGGGTATTGTGCTTGAGTGTGTGTGTGTATGTTAGAATGGAGATTGTTCATTGCTTTATTGAAAAAGAAGTAGGCAGGAGGAACAAAGACAGGCTGAAGAAAAGAATGGGGGTGGCAAACCATCCCCAGAAGCGATCGGGACACGAAAAACTGGAAATCCCAGAGGACACACACATGCTGGCAGCAGTGACCACCCTTGGGACGCCGTGTGATACTCAAGGATGGACCACATTTTGTTTTAGGCCTTCGTTCTCCTTCTAACATCCTTTCTAAGGTATCCCACACATGCAGAATATGAACTTATTACACCCATAAAAAAGGATCACTTGTTCTTAATTGGATGTTTGATGTAAGGATTAAAATGTATTTGTCATTCAGCCGCTTTCCACTAAAACCTCACGGTGAAATTTCTGTGATATTGTAGGAAATGGAATTTTTACATACTTTACTATATGCAAGAGAGAACACAGGGGTGCAAAAGACTCTCTAAGAACTATAAGCAGCCCTTCCTGCTCCTTCCCCCACCTTTTTTTTTTTTTCATTTATTTTTATTAGTTGGAGGCTAATTACTTTACAGTATTGTAGTGGTTTTTGCCATACACTGACATGAATCAGCCATGGATTTACATGTGTTTTCCCCACCTTAAAATCAAATAAATTTCCATCATCACCCTCTTAGAGCTTAGCACCTAGACTAATGGCGCCGAATCCGGTACTACTAACTGATAGCTGTCAGAAAAGGGAGACTATGAAAACTGTATTCATAGGATCCCAGCAAAGGTGTCCCCTCCTCTCCCCCCAGCACCAGGGAGCACATATGCTTAGGAACAAAGTCCCAGGAGTGTCTGCCTTTAGTCAACGGCCAGGCTGAAGCCAGAGCGGGTGGAATGGACCCCACCCATTTCTTTCCAAGACCAACATCGAGGTCAAAATGGCCTTTTATTTTGCCATTCACCTGGCTCCTGGTTAGGGCAGGAGTCTGAATGGACATTGGCCCCCTCCTCCATTCCCTAGCCTCCATCCCTCACCTGGGGCAGCCTCCAAACACAGGTGTGTGGACACCCACTTGTATGTCCCAGCCCCAGCCTTTGCTCCTTCTCAGCTAAAGGGTGCAGCTTCGGGAAGATGAGACAGAAGAAGGGGACTGGGTGGGCCCGGGAAGCGGCTGCTCCCAGGTATCCAGGACATGGTCTGGGGAATTTCAGCTCTACAGACTTATTACTGCCAGGGCTGCGGCCAAGGAAGGCCAGAGTGGGGCCGTCTGAAGTTCAGGGTCCAGAGGAGGCTGTCCAGCTCTGGAGACGGCACCACCTGGCCCCCCAACTGGCCTGAGGGGGCCTTTTCTGAGACCACGTGGTCCCTTGGCCAGCCTGCGTGGACATTTCTGGGACCACCTGGCCCCAAACCAGCTCATGGGGTTCTTTCTGGCAACCCCCATCTCTCTCCAGGCCTCATGTTAAACTCTGATGCCCGAGGTGGTCCCACTCCTGCTGGTGTCACTGGAGGATGCCCACAGATGACACCTGTCAGGTGGGGCCCAAGATCTGTCCTGTCCTCCCCCATTCCCCATCCCGAGTAATCACTGCATCTGAAAGGTACATAAAATTCTTTAAGTCACGCCAGGGAAGAAAGGATGTGGGAAAGTGATAGAAATTTGGATAGTTTGAAGTTAACGAGGAATAAAGGAGTCACCCCGGTACAGATTCAACCACCCATCACTTTCTCTTCTTGACCATTTACTAATTATCATCCCCAAGCCCACGTGGGCTTTTGTTGTTCACTCAGTCGTGTCCAACTCTTTGTGACCCCATGGACTGCAGCATGCCAGGCTTCCCTGTCCATCACCATCTCCCAGAGTTTGCTCTAACTCACGTCCACTGAGTCAGATGTCATCCAACCATCTTATCCTCTGTCGTCCCCTTCTCCTCTCTCCTGTGTCCTTCAATAAAAGGCAGGCCAGATGGGCGACCAGAACCAGCACTCTTAAGGAGCCAGACATTAGAATCCAAGATTGCACCAGAAAATTCCAAGACCCCACTGTCCCATACAAACCCAGCTCTGGGGGTTGGTTGAAAGGCACCCAGAGTTAAATGCACTATTTCTTCAGAGGCCACCTCTAAACTTCTGCAAAGCAAACACAAAATAAGCCACCGTATTCCTGCATCCTCTGTTTCCACCTCATAAGACAAAGCCCAGCGCTGAGAGGCCTAGAGGCTGGGGATGACCTAAAGAGCTCCAGCGACAGTCCCCGCGGGTGGGTGCCCCCTCCAGCCGGGTCCCCAGAAGAGCTGCTGTGAGTGTCCCCAGGGCTCAGCGGTAGGGCTGCTCCCACACCGCCCCAGGGGCGCCGGGCCCTTGGTTACCTGGTTCTTCCGGGGGAGGCTGCACGCTGACCTCAGGTTCTGCAATGACTTCGGGGGGTGGCGGGGGTGGGGCTGGTGGAGCTTTGACGGGGGTCGTGGACTCCGGAGTCTCAAATGCTTCTTCAGAGTCAGAACTCCTGATGGAGAGAGACGGGGAGAAGCACAGGTTAGACAGGGGCCGGGGCTGAGGAGCAGTGCACGGCCTAATGACCCCCCCGGGACCGCCGCAACCAGGCCCGCTGCCCAATTAAATGGTCCGGGGCCAGCCTCGAAGCAGCAGGCTTCCTAGGAGTGAATCTCATTATCACCAGCTTTGGGCCCAAATGACAGAGTCTTTGAACTCAGCTCTACTCGAAATACACATTTCTGACCTCAGTGGCAAATACAACAGTAGAATCCTTTGATCAACTTTGGCACGTGTTACTTGGCATCAATTCAGTCAAACTGATAGGGAAGCATTCCCAGGGACACTTGGCGAAACTGTGGTTCCAGCACATTCAAAGGACCCTCACCCCATGAAGCAGAATCTCATTCGGCCTCTTCCCCTCACCCCACCACTCTCTCCCACTGCTGTTCCTTCCCCAGCGCATCACATAACTTGTTATTATAGATGTATTCACTTTCTAATCATGTTAATTATATTTCTCCTCTACTGAGCTGAAAAGGCCAAGAGGGCAGCCTTTTTTGTTTTGTGTTTCTTCATCACTGCATGCCCAAGTCCAAACCAGGAGGCAGTGAATAAACATCTGTTAAGTCAATGAAGGAAGGCATGAAAGCTGGCAAGTCGGTAGAGGATGTGTCAGACTAAAGCTCAAAGCACAGCCTGCTGATCCTAGCAGTATGAAAATTGCCCTTGCTGGTCTGCAGAGATGTCTGCTCTCAAGGATTCTTCACCCAGAGAAAGGAACCAAAACCCCACCCAGAGGAATGCCCGCCACGCCACCCTGTAACAAGGGGAAGGTGCTCACACAGCTAAAAAAGCCTTATCCTGGCTCGAGAAAATCAAGGGCAGCCAGCCCTTCTCATCACCCTGCATCCACTAGGGACTCAATTTCGAGCCAGAAAGGATGAGGCGTCCCCAAATCATTGAGCCAGGCATGTGTCCTCAGGCTGGAGGGCAGCTCCTTATGGGCTCAGGAGGCAGGGGGGAGGGGGGGTCCGTGGTCCTGGCTTCACCTCACTTTGAGGATCAGCAGCATCACCTGAGCTCACTCCCATCTCAGGATATTTTAAGTTGACCAAAATGCCATTTATTTATTTGCAACTAGGAAGGTAATTAACAAGACAGTGGATACTTAGGATTGCTGCTGGCACAAGCGACCCAGCAGGCAATTTGGCAGAAGATATATAATCAGAGAGCGATGCATCAGGTACGTGTGAAAGCTGAAACGCTCCTAGAGCTGAACATCCACAAGGATCAAAGGACCAGTGTCCTCCGCAGAAGTCAGCATCTTCTAAAGACCGTCTGCCAGCCAGCAGAGAGCACCACGACCAACCAATCCCTCTGCAGTCAGCCAAGACAGGAGAAAAAGAGCCATCTGGTGAGTCTCCTTCAGAAAATCTCCACTGATGTTTTTACAACTTCTTTGTCAGAGACTCACTTTATCAGAGCCAAAGATCCCCCACTCCCATCCTTCCAAGGACCCTGGCTCCTGCAACCAGCCACAGAGCTCTCCAGGGACACAAAGAGGTGAACAGAAACGTCAGAGCTGCATTCCAGGGAATCCAGTGAACTGAAGCCTGTTTACTATCAAATTTCACAAGACTTTATACAAATGCAACAGGGGCCATACCAACTTTTACAAACACACATTAATATTAAAAGACTTAGCTTTCATGGTGGGGGGGGGGCGGCACGGGAATTTAAGATCCATGCCTGGACAAACACAGATCTAGGCAGCTGAACTTTTGCAAAATCTTTATGCTGGCGTGAAAAACACAAAGAAGTCATGCAACCAAGCATCAAAGAGGAACAGTAGTTTAGATCTGCCTGGTGGGCTCTGGGTATAGACCTGGCCCCCGGTTTTGCACACATCGGGGGCAATGTTGAAGATATGCACGCAGACAACTTGCCTCTTTCCTGGGTTTCCATGAAGGACCCGCAGACTGGAATCCCCACTGCCGGTTACCGTCGTCCACATCCACCGGGCCCATTCCACCGGGGGCCATGTCCACCAGGAGGCAAAAGCCATTTCCGCTGAAGAAAAGTTTCTGTCCCCACACTTCCACCCCTAATTCCTTTGCCGATACGTCTGGGTTCTGGATCTCTTTACAGTCTCACAAGAAACTTAGCCGCACCACCAGCCAGGGATAGGGATGCTCTGAGCTTCCCCAGCGCCCAGCAGAGATGCAAAGGGAGCTTCTGCATCCCCGGGCTCCGGCGACGTGTGGCTTGAGAGCACAAAGGGCCCCTGATCTTTCCCAGCAGCATAAGCAAGCGACAGGGAGGGCCGGACGCTTGTGGATTCAAGCTGCTGAATTCCAATGAGGTCTCCCCAGCTCGCAGCTGCCCGGAGTGCACACCTGCTCAGAGGGGACCACTATTCACCAGAGCCCCATGTGGGAGGCAGTGTCAGGGGAGGGCAAGGGTACACCAGGCCCCTTGTGAGGCTCCTCACCTTGTTTACTACGAACCTTTTCTGCATCAAAACACCAGAGGCTACCAGGGACCCCTAGAATGGCATTCACTTCCAGCACCGCCTGCACGCTCTTTTCATATTTTCACACCCTCCCCCAGGAGTGGAGAGCAAGTTAATTAGAGGAGGCGGACGGCAGCTTTTTTAATTAGCTCTTTTCTCCCTATTCGGTTTCTCGGGGGGGCTCAGAAACATTCCCAAGAGCAGGGATTTCTGCAGTCCACCCACAAAGAGCTTGGACATAAACATAAAGCAGCATTCCAGAGTCCCAATGCATGAAAGCAGCTCTCCTTGGCTGTGCAATTATTTTTTCCTACAAGAAGAACTGAAAGTACGGGAAATTATTCTGCAAAAGCACCACACGTTTTTAAAATGAAAAAGCAAGTAATTTAATTTGCCAAGAAGCTGTGTCAGAAAGAAATGTGCCATTACAGTTTGCTAAAATGACTCTAAATTACAGAGAAATGCATTTCCCAGGATATGCAAATACTAGGTTCTCCATAAGTAAATATGTAAATGAATGCAAATATAATAAGGTATATGCACTTCCATAGTGTAAAGGTGTACCTCTTAATGGCCGGGCATGAAATATAATGACTTTAATTCCCAGCATAAAGAGCATTCTAATAGCTATCATATGTTGAACCTTTTTGTTACATACATACACTGGACTAGGCCATTTGCACATTTCTCTATAAACTACAAAAATATCCCGCTACTGGAGAGCAGGCCCGTTTTGCAGATGACACAGCTATAGCTTAGAGAGGCACACTGCTTAGCCCAAGGCCACCCAGTTAGTAAACTAGGGAAGTGCAGGACTCAAATCTAGAACTATCTGCCTCTACAATCTGTGCTGTCTTACTATCATCAGTGGCTTCTAAAGCTTTCCAGCAACAAAACTATTTTTCTAAATGCATCTTATGTGAATTTCCTATGCACAGAGAAAAGTAGTATTTCACTCACTTTATAAGGTCACTGTATGACATATTCTTATAAAGTCTATAGCCTTTCCTTTCCCTTCTCCAGGGGATCTTTCCAACACAGGCATCAAACCCAGGTCCCCCTGACTGCAGGCAGATTCTTTACCAGTTGAGCCACCGGGGAAGCCCAAGAATACTGGAGTGGGTATCTAATCCCTTCTCCAGCAGATCTTCCCAACCCAGGAATCAAACCAGCGTCTCCTATGCAGGAGTGCATAGCAGGCGAATTCTTTACCAGCTTATGCAGGCGGATTCTTTACCAGCTGAGCTACCAGGGAAGCTCAACATTGAGAACAATTAAGCTATTTTTATGAACTTAAAAAATATGACCCTGGGGGTTGAGGATGCCAACTGCAGCCCTGGGTCTGTTAATTTCTCTCCTGGTTGCACGTTATTAAGAGAAGTCCTGATGAGTAACCACGAACAGCACCTCTTTTGAACAGCCTGTACTGTGATCATGGGAGATTCTTTAATAAGGCAGTCAGGACAGGAGAGCTACCTAACCAGGCAAAATCAAATTAATCTATCAGCACAAGGCCATATGCTGGTGGCAGGCGATACACACAGCGTGTGTGTACAGAGAAGGGAAGATGGAAATGCGTAACTACGGGCGTATAGACTGCTGCCTGCTGAAATCCGAGTCTGCCAGGCTCCCTGAGGTGCTTGTAAAGTTTAAAAATATTTTCTCAAATATTTTTCTCAGCTTTTGGAAAGTCTCTATAGGACTTTTCCCACCTAGCACGCTTTGGAAACCTCCTCCACACGAGGAACCCAGACCCTTCATAGCTGGCACCGTGCATCGAAACAGAGTATTTTATCTTTGTTTTGTTTTTTTTTTTGGGGGGGGGTTGCCTTTATTAACTTTCACTTTGTATTGGGGTATAGCTGGTTAACAACGTTGTGATAGTTTCAGGTGAGCAGTGAAGAGACTCAGCCATACATATGCATGTATCCACTCTCCCCCAAACTTCCCTTTCATCCAGGCAAAAGAGAGTATTTTATGGCAACTGTCCCCAAACCCTGAGGCCTGTTAACCCATAGTTTTACTTTGGTTTAAACATACTACATTTTATTTTTGTAAACGACAAGAGTGAAGGAGCATAAGATAAACATCCACATAAAATAACATAATATAATAAAGTTATATAATATAGACATAGTTAGTATAATACAATACTGGGCTTCCCTGGTGGCTCAGATGGTAAAGAATCTGCCTGCAATGCAGGAGACCCAGGTTCGATCCCTGGATTGGGAAAATCCCTGGAGAAGGGAATGGCATACACATGCATACAATATACACAAATATATGTGTGAATATGTGTATCTACAAATAAAATACTGGAACCTTTTAATAAAGAACTATAAATGCCATCTTCCAGGATATCATTAAGTGGCTTGTTGTTCACGCTCAGTCGTGCCCAACAACTCTTTGCAAGCCCATGGACTGCAGCACGCCAGGCTTCCCTGTCCTTCACCACCTCCCGGAGTTTGCTCAGACTCACACCCATCGAGTCGGTGATGCCATCCAACCACCTCATCC